CTCAAGCAATACTAAGACTAGCCCAACGAACCCACAATATGTCTGATCAAGCGTTAGACTGAAAAATAAGAAAAACTTGGAAATGCTGCTTCCTACCCTATACTTGGAATCCCTCAGATGACAAATTGCTTATCATGGTTCAGGGTAAAAAACTGTCTTTAGTCCTCCAAAAGATCACCTGTGGTTGGAAGGCACTGTAGCAGAAGAAAAAGAGCATGAGCTTCAGAGTGGACACACCTGAGTCTAGAAACCTGGCTCTGTCATGTTCTTGTCATGTGAACTTGGTCAAGTCATTGTGTGCCTCTGAGCCTCAACTTCTTTATCTATAAAATGGGAATAAAACTATCTGTTTTAGGTTTATCATGAGGATTAAATGAGATAAGACATGTAATGTTTATAACCAGGGGTCTGGTAGGCTATAGGTGCACTTCAACAAATGTGGTTTTCCTACTCTGATGGTGCTAAATCAGTAACTTATTTAATTCAAATGATCTTACATAAAATGCTGGCCTGAAATAGCTGTCCCAGCACAGCATCATCTGGGTAAGAAACATTTAGGTCAGCTTTCTGTCAACTGCAATTTCCACTGCTATAATTACGCAATCATCAACCACCACTGCAAGACAACAAAAACCCCAAAGCTGATGTTAATAAAATTGCTAAATACAGTAATTACCTGAGTCTCAAGATCATGACCACCAATTCCTTTAGAAAAGCAACAGAAACCTTTGTAATTATAGGAGCAAGAGGCTCAATAGTTATCCCAGACAGTGGTCTCTGTAACAGAAGGCTTTCGGTCACTGCCCAGAATGGGCAGAATTTCTGAGCATACTCAGAAATCTTTCTCAAATTGCTATTTTTTCACATTTCATACTCTGAAAGAAACAATGTCAACAAAAGAACTGAAAGGGGGGAAATGACAGAAAAAAAGGATATTCTTTGAAATCTAGCCTTCTTGGCACTCTTTTCTGGCAAGAGTCTCTAGCCTGGTGAAATAATCTCTAGGAGGAAAACATACTTTATGAAATCTATCAGCATAAGCGCTCTCTATGGAAAAAGCAAGGGACACATTCTCCCTGTAATGCTGATTCCTTTAGGAAAGGAAAGGAAGCAAAGAATCATTTATTAAGCACCTATATTCAGAGTGCTGAACTATGCTATTTGATTATGTTATCTCTCAAATCCATTTGCACTTTATTTTTATTGTTGATACTTTGCCCACCTTCACCCAGCCCCCACCACCCCTCCCCTGCTCAAGGTTTTATTGTTATTAAGTGGAAATATCCAGCTCCAGGTCCACATTCCATGGACCTGGAAGTCTGCCCAACTCTGAAACCTTTATCTTTTCATTATACTTTCAGCAGATCTCAAAATGGTCATGCCAATTCTCCCATATGAGAGAGAACTCAATATGAGAGAGAACTCAATTTAACTTTTAGCTCCAAAACAAGACATACAGACAAATAATTCGAACTAAGTGTCCAACAACAGGCTGTTTCTTTCACTCAGCGCACTGCTTTTCTGCCTCCAATTAGTCTTTCAAATGAATGGAGGGACCCACACAAAATGCTCTTTTTTAAAATCTTAAATCTATAAAGAAAATGGTACCTGTTGACAACCACAGAGCACTGAAGCAGAAATAAGTATAAAACAGGCACAGGATCCTCAACCACTTCCCAGATGTCTGCCAACAAAATCCTGATAAAATCCAGGAACCAGAGCTTGGCTTCACTCCCAGCCTCTTCTCCATGGCCTTCCAGATAGGCAGAACCAGTCCACTAGAAAGAGAGAAAGAAAAGAAATTATGTGCCAAGTAATTAATAATTGATTCCTAGAAATGTGGCATGCAAGGTAGAGAACATGATAAATTAGGGGGAAGGAAAATTCCCAGTTTGTCTTTCACTGCTCATCTCTGCCAATAAATTTTAAACCTGAACTTAGGCATAACCTATAATTATCAGGATAAAAACACAGCAAAGGATATGAAATGAATCCACCGTAAAAATGAAATAACTTATTGTCCATTATTTTCTAGTCTAACAGTAAATCATCTGTGTGGAAGAATGGAAAGAATGCCAGCCTGAGAAAAAGGCCTGAATTTCAGTTCTGACAGCTTTGTGACTTTGACCAAACATACCTTCTTATCTATGAAGAGATTTAGACCTGAAGGTTTTGTGTAGCCATATTGTGTGTTTTTTTTAATTTAATGTGACTGTCTTTAGGCCGGGCACACACTCCAGTTTGCCACTGTCCATACCACTATCATCTTAAAAATATATCCAATTTATACTTTGAGGTCACCTCCCTAACCCCTAGAATCATTTGTAACTCCTGACTTGAACTCATATATACATTCAGCAAATATTTACCCAGCCCCTATTATGTGCTAGACAAGTGCTTGCTAATCTAGAATCTAGGGAGCCATTTGATTTACTTCCTTCCAGAAGGAAAAAATTAATTTCCGTCAGTTTCTTCTCTTATACAACTTCCATATATTTAATAATTACCCAAATCTTGGCAACACTAGGAAGGCTGATCTAGTTCTGAAGAAGCAGTTCAACATCAGCTGTCCTAAATGTGCACCTGTTGTCCACCTCTGGCAAATGGCACAGACTTACAATCACCACTGCCAGCCAACAGTCAGGGAGACTGGCATTGCATGGGTTGGATATCAATACTATTACCAGGAAACACACACACACACACACACACACACACACACACACACACACCTGCAAACTGAGATACAGCCTAACCAAAAAACATTTGCATTGAGCCTTAAGCATCTGAAGGACTTTATCTTTCTCATTCACTCCCATCCATTCCTATTTCTAGTTGCTCTGTAGTTGTATGTTAGGGAACAGGGGGTAGAAAGGTATGTGGGCCAGAGACATGCTCAAGAGATTAATAAATAAAGCAAGTTAGAAAGTATATCCAGCAACTTCTCTAGCCTCTAATGGTGTGTGTGTGTGTGTGTGTGTGTGTGTGTGTGTGTGTGAATGGATCTTACCCAACATATCTGTCTACCACAAAAGGATCTTAAACTCAAGGTGACTCAACACCTGTCATCAGTAGCATGGCAGGTGGGCGATAGAAGCATTAAAGAAATGAATAGGTTTTGAAAATGGGAGTAATAAACACCATTGGATTAGCAAGCTGATGATAAGTACAATATCTTACAAACCATGCATAAGAGAGAGGCAGAGCTATTTTACTGTGAACTTCCAACCAGTTATCCCTATGAAACCTACAATTGCCCAAGGGCACAAATCACTGCTAGGGTCCAGTCAAAGGCTTGCTGACCAGGGCAGGAACAACACCACATTACCAAGATCCAAATGGTTGGTTATAGAATCAAAGGTAACAGCCCAGTGAAAGAACACACACCCCCACAATACTTGACAAATGAAAATCTAGAAAAGCGTGCAATAGTTCTGGCATGTGGGGCGTTACAAGTACACCCGAAATAAAAGCACTCTCTGTTGCAGCAGCTGTTCAGACAGAGCAGGGGGTAATGTTTACTTAATACTTCAGGTTGATGGGGAATGTGTCATAGTTCAGTCTGTCAGCTACATACGTGGAACTCCATTTATGTACACAGCGTTAAGATGTTTGAACAACGACAAAGCAGGTCTGAAACAGCCTATTCAAAAGGTGTGAGTAAGCAAGAATAAAGCTCCCTTTTGAAAAGTCTCAGATATTTGGGAAAGTTACAGAGCAGACTGCCATGAATGCTTATATTTGCAGACATTGTTTTCCAACTAACTAGAAAAATGAACAGGTTGTTCAGGGCGGGGGTGGGGGGTTATCTTTCCTATTGACTCCTAGCTTCCGGTCTGTTAATCACCTAAGAAAGCAGGAGAAAAGTCAGCTAATGCTCTTCACCTACTATATCTATTGTCGGTTGGACAAGATCATGAGGTGAGAGAATGCAAAGCTTTCCTGGAATCCCGCCTAAATTTCCTTTTTCGGCTTCCTACATTCCACCTTTGTGCTCCCTGCAGCCACCGCACGACCCTCCTGTGGGGCATAATTTTCCCAGTACTGGATAAGGCAGGTTTCGCACTGTGATTTACACCTCGTGCTCAGCCCCGCCCTCTTTATTCTGCATCAACTTTTCATCTTGGTGGAAACAACGAACATCAGAGACAGCAAATGAGGGTGAGGCTGCAGAAGTCGAGGGAACTAAGACAGCGGAACCCCGAGCCGGTCTGTCAGTCAGGGGATGGCGGGAGCTCCAGGACCAGGTGCCGGCCTGAAAGAAGCGGGCTACAGCCTGGGACTCGAGCTCCGCACCTGTAAAGCCAGAAGCATCTGGCTAACCTAACAGGGCCAGAAGCGCCACCTCCGGGTCCCAATACCCGGCCAGCGAACCCCCAGAAATAGCCTGTCCCGCTTGCCCCTCCCCTGAGCTCGTGGTCCTCCGCCAGGCAGCCAGCCGCCTCCGGCCACCTACCGGGGCTCAGGGCCACACAACAGGACCCCGGCTCTCGGGAGCCTCCTCCTCCCGATCCATGGGGTCAGGGCCCCAATCTCCGCTCCCCTCACCCGGAGGAGGAGGAAGAAGGCAGTGCGGGCTTCCCACCCGGCAGCTCCCTCTTGCCTCAGCCTCCCTGGACAGCGACAGCAGCCGGAAACGCCGCCTCCTCCCACCTCCCGGGTCTCAACCCGGAAATACGCTCTTCTTGTTAAGGAAGCCCTCCTGCCCCACCACCCCGGAAGCTCAATTCCAGCCGCGAGGACGAGGGGGAGGAGGGGCAGTGCTGGGAGGTAGAACTACCTACGGGTGAAGAAACCTGAGCCTCCAGGGTGTCGCCTCCCGCTCTCCAGAGGCAGTCTGCCTGACCTGCACGAGCCCTGGACCCCAGACTCGGGCAATACCCACAAGCAAGATGGCGGCAACGGCAGCACCCACTGTGGCTTAGCGCTCCGCTGTGTCATTGGCCAGACTCTGGAGTGAAGCCGCCAAGCATTGGTCGAGAGCTCTGCGGGGGAGGGGGTGGAGCTGAAGCTGCCGGGAGCCTGGAGTGGGCAAAGCGGCGTGAGCAGCGGCCCCAGGCTCCGGCAGCGTCGCGCTCGGAGAAGACCTCGCAGCTCGGGGCCGCAGCCTGGTGAGCTCAGCCGCCTTCAGGCCCTCCCCTACATCCCTGCCGGGGCCTCTCCGAGACGGCGCTGATCGACGCCGAAACACCCGGGGACCCTATCGTGACTCCATCGCGCCATATCGCGACATCATCGTGCCCTGTCGAGACTCCATTTTGTCACAGCTCTTCTCAACATATAGCTATATATTTTATTTGCCCTGTCATCTTTGGGGGCTGTCCCATGTCGTGATTTTGCCGTGATCTCTCCGTGACATCACCGCGCCATCGTGAAGTGTGATCTCATCGCCGCCCTGTCGTGACTTCATCAATGTCGTGTTGTGACTTGGCCGCGGCGGGACAGGTGGTGACCGCCAGGAACCCTCTTCCCCTTCTCATCTCCCCACCTCTGCAGCCCCGCTTTGATTATCCGGCTTTTGGATTCTCCGTTGTCCTGGGAGCTACCCGGGACCCTTTCTTGCTTCTCCAGCCCCTGCCGGCATCCACAAGCTGGTATCGGGGCGAGGAGAGGGAGAGCAAGGGGTTAATTCTGCTGCTCCTTCTGCTGCTGCTGCTGCTGCTGCTGCTGCAGCTTCTGCCCAAGGGAGGGAAAAGAGAGGAGGCAAGGAGCCTGCGGGGGCGACTGAGAGCCCTGGCTGGAGGGGTGGGGTCCCGAGGGGCCACCAAACCTTTCCTGGTCAGTGCCCTGCATCCTCACTTCAACCGAGGCTTGTCTCCTGCCTCTTCTGAAGAGGGGAGGGGGAAGGAAACCTAGAATGCCCTTTTCCCTCCTGTCAGCCTGAATGCGGATAATCGAACTTCACCCTGTATGTCTCCATTCCCACCTGTCTGTCCTCACCACTCCCTCCCTGTGTGCCTTAGTGGAGGAAGATAAAACCAGGCTTCTGGTGCCAGGCGGCAGCTAAACAGTGGGACCGGCCCCCTCCCAACCCCAGGAGGTTGGTGAGGAGACCTGTCCAACTGAGCAGCAGTATGCATGGTCCTTTCTCGCTTTCTAGAGGTGACCTTGGACCAGGGTCCCTTCATCCCTAAAAATTTGAAGGTGCAGCCCCTTAAAGGGAGGTCAGTCCTGAGGATCCCATCCCTCCTGCTCCACCCCTCCCTCTGTGCTAATCCCTCCTTCCATCTTCCACTCCCACCCCCCACCCCCACCCCTCCTCTGCAGAGGGATGCTCAGTCCCTCTTGTGTTCACAGTTGGGCAAGACTGGCATCATGGCCTCAGATTGTGAGCCAGCTCTGAACCAGGCAGAGAGCCGAAACCCCACCCTGGAGCGCTACCTGGGAGCCCTCCGTGAGGCCAAGAATGACAGCGAGCAGTTTGCAGCCCTGCTTCTAGTAAGGAGCTGACTGAAAATTGGGAGGTGGGAAGGGCTGGGTGGTTGGACCCCCTAGGAATGGGGTCTACAAGTCCTCATGGATATATAGGTGCTGCTGGTATCCCTGGAGTCACCAAAGTAGGCCCAAGACTACTCTGGTCTTTGAACTGAATACGGGGAGAGTGGGGGTGAATAATGCTTGTGGCCCTAGGAGCCTTGGAGGAGGCTGCCTAGGTCTGCTCTCTGGGGTGTCCCAGAGCAGATGGGAGCTGACTCATAGGGTAACAGCAGCAGGTAGTAACTAGTGCAGAGTACTTGAAGGCTGGGGGTGATTGTTCTGGGGGTGGAAAGGATAGCAGGACTGAAAGTGACTGGGAAAGGGTCCCAGGGGATGGCCAGGATGGCAGTAAGTAGGCTGGGTGTAAGGGAGCTAGTTCTGGGCTCAACCCTGTTGGAGGAACCCAAGCTGGGGACAGCAGAGCAGGAGCTGCAGTGCTGGGAAGGGGGGTTGGTGTGTGGGGGTGAAGGGAGGAGGGAGTACAGCCTGCTGCTTGTTTGCCATGGCAACAGGGAGAAGGCTCTGGAGTCAAGGGCTCACACTGCAGCAGAGGAGGTGTTTAGGTGAAATGTAAGGGGAAATGTTTTGACAGGCGGAGCGGCGAGACAGGAGCCATTTCCCCTGAGAAGGTGGCGGGAATGGATCAGAGACTCCTCTGGAGGGAGCAATTAGGAAGGGACTCTAAATCCTTGGAGGATTTTAAACTTGGAGTTCTAAGCGTTGTGGGCATCAAGATTAGTCATCAGGAAGAACTTCTCAACTGACCAGGTGAAGAAACAGTCTGTAGTTGAGGAGGCCTGGACCTCCCTTCCCTGGAGATAATCATAGATAAGGGATCCTAGAGGTCACACCCATCTTGTCTCCAGGGAGAAAGCAGGAGCTGGATGAAAAGACCTCGGGAAGGCTTTCTGACCTCAGAGTGGGTCCCATTACATAACCTAATCCTGCCAGAGTCAACACTCCAGGGTGCAATGGACAGTCTTTGCCACCTCTTTCATCCTGCTGATAGCACATACTCCCATTCAGGTGACCAAGGCAGTCAAAGCAGGTGACATCGATGCCAAAACTCGGAGGCGGATCTTTGATGCTGTGGGCTTCACCTTCCCCAATCGTCTCCTGACCACCAAGGAGGCACCGGATGGCTGCCCTGACCACGTTCTCCGAGCCCTGGGCGTGGCCCTGCTGGCCTGCTTCTGCAGTGACCCTGAACTGGCCGCCCATCCCCAGGTCCTGAACAAGATCCCCATCCTCAGCACCTTCCTTACAGCCCGGGGGGACCCTGATGATGCTGCCCGCCGTTCCATGATCGATGACACCTACCAATGCCTGACGGCTGTAGCAGGTACACCCCGTGGGCCCCGGCACCTCATTGCTGGTGGCACTGTGTCTGCCCTATGTCAGGCATACCTGGGGCATGGCTATGGCTTTGACCAGGCCCTGGCACTTCTGGTGGGGCTGCTGGCTGCAGCTGAGGCACAGTGCTGGAAGGAGGCGGAGCCTGACCTGCTGGCCGTGTTGCGGGGCCTCAGTGAAGATTTCCAGAAAGCCGAGGATGCCAGCAAGTTTGAGCTCTGCCAGCTGCTGCCTCTCTTTCTGCCCCCGACAACTGTGCCCTCTGAATGCCTCCGGGATCTGCAGGCCGGGCTGGCACGCATCCTCGGCAGCAAGCTGAGCTCCTGGCAGCGCAACCCCGCACTAAAGCTGGCAGCCCGCCTGGCACACGCCTGTGGCTCCAACTGGATCCCGGCGGGCAGCTCCGGGAGCAAGTTCCTGGCCCTGCTGGTGAATCTGGCATGTGTGGAGGTACGGCTGGCGCTGGAGGAGACGGGCACAGAGGTAAAAGAGGATGTGGTGACTGCCTGCTATGCCCTCATGGAGTTGGGGATCCAGGAATGCACCCGCTGTGAGCAGTCACTGCTTAAGGAGCCACAGAAGGTACAGCTTGTGAGCATCATGAAGGAGGCCATCGGGGCTGTCATCCACTACCTGCAGCAGGTGAGGGGCAGTGGTTCGTGGGGGATCCAGTGTTGGGGAGGCAGAAGGCAAGGAAAAAGGAGCGTTAGAACTCCCTCACCTCCGTGGAAAGGGGAGACAGCGAAGATGCCCTTACTGAGGACTGATCCTGCAGCACTCCTGGGAGTAGTGTGTGACCCAGCCCACCCCACCCTCCCTCCCTCCCTGTGCCTCCACACAAGTGCCATACCACACACCATATGTGCATTCACATCACAGTGCATACACGCACACACAACACAATAACCTCCCACTCAAACCCCCCAGTACACACACACAAAATCGAAGCCGTCTGTTCTGCTTGATCTCTAGCACTGCTTTACACACATGCGCGTGCAAACATATGTTCCTGCAGGGAAAAGGAGCAGAGCCGCCTGGGTCCTGCCCTGTGTAGAGGTTCAGCTGACTCCTCCCAGGTCAGAGCTGCTGCAGAGGGAATGTTTACTTAGCTCTGGACCTCCGAGTTTCCTTTTAGCCCTGAGATACTTCAGAGGTAGTTGGACGGGGGGAATGCTAGCTGAATCCCAGCAAGTGCAGGGGCATGACATCTGAAGTCCAGCTGGCTCAGCAGACATGCCCTGAGAACCTACCTTTGAAGGGCTCCCAGGCCAGAAGTCCCTTACAGCTGTATTATTCCAAGGCCGGCCAGCACACTGTCTAGGCTGGGGAGGGGCCCTGGTTTTGCTCCATCTCAAGGGGGTCCTGTGGCAACAGGTGGGGCCGGAGAAGCAGAAGGAGCCCTTTGTGTTTGCTTCGGTGCGGATCCTGGGTGCCTGGCTGGCTGAAGAGACCTCGTCTCTGCGCAAGGAGGTCTGCCAACTGCTGCCCTTCCTCGTTCGCTATGCCAAGACCCTCTATGAGGAGGCTGAGGAAGCCAATGACCTGTCTCAGCAGGTGGCCACCCTGGCCATCTCCCCCACTACCCCAGGGCCCACCTGGCCAGGGGACGCTCTCCGGTGAGTTTATAGTTAGAGTGTCCAGCCAGACAGTTTTAAAGGAAAGCGTTAACGCAGAGACACCTCCTCTCCCCACCACTGAGCTGTGCCAGACTTCCCGACTGGCGCGTGAGAGTGCCTTGAGGACTTTTGCTGTTTGGGAGGGCTTGTCCCCACAGGACTCCTGGGCTGCCAAGTCTCCCTAGCCATCCTCAGATTTCTCTATAAGGAGAAAACTCATGCTTATTGAATGTCATGCCAGGCATTTTTCTATACCCTTTACCAAAGTGATCTCATTAGGTCCACACAGCAAGTCTGTCGTGTAAGTCTCATGCACATCTTCAGGATGAGAAAAATGAGGCTCAGGGAGGTAAAATCACTTGCCCATGCTCCCACCATGTGGCAGAGCCCAAGACTGAGCCTAGGCCTGTACCAATCCAAAGCTTGTACTTTTTCTGTGGTGCCTACGAGGATGTGCCCTCCTTCTCTCCGACTTCCAATTCTCTTAGGTGGTGTGCCCCCAAAAAGGGAATCTCTCCCCCACCCCTCACACATCTGTCCCTTCCATACCCAGGCTCCTTCTGCCCGGCTGGTGCCACCTGACGGTCGAAGATGGGCCCCGGGAGATCCTGATCAAGGAGGGGGCCCCCTCACTTCTGTGCAAGTATTTTCTGCAGCAGTGGGAACTCACATCCCCTGGCCATGACACCTCCGTGCTGCCTGACAGCGTGGAGATCGGCCTGCAGACCTGCTGCCACATCTTCCTCAACCTGGTGGTCACTGCACCTGGGCTGATCAAGTGAGGCTGGGGAGGAGGCTGGGGGAAGTGGGGGGCGGGGTGCTGCTGCAAGTTGCCCCAAATACCCATCTCCTACTTTGTTTCCCTGTGCGCACGGGGTCCTGTTAGTGTTAGTGTTAGTATTAGAAGGAAGGGGTTGCAGGACAGACAGAACCACCCCCATCTTTGCAGCCTCTCTGGGCACGTGTTCCAGTTCCAGTCAAGCCAGTCTCTGATCCCCAGATGCCGTGAGAGGGGCCCAGAATGAACTCTCCGCCCTGCTGCCTAATTTGCCAAATCCTGGCCTGGGGAAGCTGGGAACCCAGACTTTTAGGTTGGCCCACGGCTTGGTCTGGCTCTGTCAACCCACACCCCTGCCTTCTCCCTTGTTTACCTTCCTTTCTCCCCAGGCGAGATGCGTGCTTCACATCTCTCATGAACACCCTGATGACGTCGCTGCCCTCGCTAGTGCAGCAGCAGGGGAGGCTGCTTCTAGCTGCCAATGTGGCTACCCTGGGCCTCCTCATGGCCCGGCTCCTTAGCACCTCTCCAGGTAAGCCCTGGGGACTTGGTCTTAATGGATGGGGGCAGATGGCCTGGGTGACCTACTGGCCACTGGGGATGTCACCATTTGCAAAAAAAAGTTTTATAGAATGTTCCAGTCCAGAGGAACTCTCTGAAGTATGTCTCCATTCCCCCACCCCACCCTTCCCAAAATGATATCACTCTCTTCCTTCTGAGGACTTCTAAGGCAAGGTCTGGTGGGTGTAAGTGCAGGCCTACTCAGAAGCACAGGCACAGGCACCTGGAAGCCCAGCAGCCCAAGGAATCTGAATCTAGTGTTTTCAAGGTGGGGCCACCCCCAGCCTTGAATCAGAAACCTTGCTTCGCTCCATTGAGGTTTTTCCTCTGCTCAGCACCTCACCTCCCTTGTGGCAGGCTTCAGTACTTGGTGCCCCTCTGCGCATACCCTCTCCCTAGCTCTGCTTTACTCTGTGTGCAGGGGCAGGGGCATCCCCTCCAACCCCTGCCAGCCCTTTGTGTCTTCCGCTTTGGTCATGGTGTCTGCTTGGGTCCCTCTGTCCCCGCCTGTTCCCTCCGCCCCATCTGTCAGGTTGGAGTTGCTGAGCAGGTGCCTGGGAACAGGAGTACCCAGCAGTAGGAAGAGGAGCCCCCCTGCTCCTTAGCCCCTGAACTTCCTCAGTCCCAAGCAATATCACCACAGGTCCTGAGTAGAACCCCAGTGCTGGTTCACCCACAAATGCCACCAGGTTAGATTAACAACCTCCAGGAGAATCTGCAGTGCAGGGGTGACCCCTACGCCAGCTCTGGGTCCCCTCTAGCGCCCTCTTCTGGCCCAAGAATCAAAGTGGTGATTCTTGGCAGTTGAGGAGCCCTAGGCCCAGCAGGGGCTCCCGTCACTACTCAGACTGTACAGGAAGGTCTAACCATGAAGCTGAGTGTACCAAGATTATTACATTTATTTCTTATAGCAGATTTCTAAGATGATAGCACTGTTATAGGTCCTGTTTCGTAAGTGAAGAAATGAGACACGGACCCAAGGTGATGCAGTGAAATCAAAGACAGGGTTTGAACCCAGGAAGGCTAATTCCAGGCTATGCTTCAGCCCCCTAGGGCCCACACAGGAAGGGAAAGTAAGGGCCTGGCAAAGCAGCTGATGCATCTGGTTCATGCCCCCACTGCCTTCTTGCCTTCCAGCTCTTCAGGGAACACCAGCATCCAGAGGTTTCTTCGCAGCCGCCATCCTCTTCCTGTCGCAATCCCATGTGGCACGGGCCACACCTGGCTCAGACCAGGCAGTGCTGGCCCTGTCCCCTGACTACGAGGGCATCTGGGCTGATCTTCAGGAGCTCTGGTTCCTGGGCATGCAGGCCTTCACAGGCTGCGTGCCGCTGCTTCCCTGGCTGGCCCCCGCTGCCCTGCGTTCCCGCTGGCCGCAGGAGCTGCTCCAGCTGCTCGGCAGCGTCAGCCCCAACTCCGTCAAGCCGGAGATGGTAGCCGCCTATCAGGGTGTCCTGGTGGAGTTGGCACGGGCCAACCGGCTGTGCCGGGAGGCCATGAGGCTGCAGGCAGGTGAGGAGACGGCCAGCCACTACCGCATGGCTGCCCTGGAGCAATGCCTGTCGGAGCCCTGAGGGGGTGTCCACTGGGGACAGACCCGGGGGTGGGCAGTGAGGGAATGAGGGAGGAGGCATCTTCCCTGAAGCCCCCAAACTGGATCCCCCTCCCCAACTCCCCCCCAAACACCCCAGCTTTCTGGCTTTTTCAAGAGCAAGGGCATGGTGCCCACCCTTCAAATGTAAGGAACTGCGTCCTGCCCCCTGAGGCTGCTCACGGGCAGGGATTGTCTTGGAAATCAGTGAGGCTGTCCCCGCCAGGTCGGGGAAGGTTGGAGTAGCCCCCAGGGAGGGGGGCTTTTAAGTGTCATTGTGGCCAGTGTCTGGCTCCCCGAAGGAGGGAGTCCCCAGGGTGGGACAGGGCTGGCAGGAGCTGGCTGCTTCAGCCCATTTGCCCTGCCGGCCAGGGTGTGGGCTCCTTTGGCTGTGGTGCCCCTCTGGCCTTCCAGGTCCACGTCCTTTAAATTGGCCATTCAATTCTTGTCTTTGGCCCTCTTGGTCAGAGAGCGGGCTCAGGCCATTGACATCACAGTTCTTCCTATCAACTTCAGTGACCCAGGGTCTGAAATGCTCCATCCATCCAGGGAAACCTGGGACAGACCGTGCTGGTGTGGTGGGGGGAACCTTCCGCCTGAGCTTCCTTGAAGGGACCCAAAAGTCCTGCGGCCCCGTGGTCTCTAAGCTTTTGTGTCGTGTTACAGCAGAGTGATGATGAGGGTTGGGGGGGGATTTATTTTGCCAGTCCTTACCCCTGCTTGGACACCTGAGCATCTAATTTCTGTCCTCCTGGTGCCATCTGGCCTGGCTGGAGCCAGGAACAGGAGGGACACTTTCCCAGAAACCGCATGTTTCCCTAGTGATTGCACCCCATCGCATCGTGGTGCCTGGCTTTAAATCCCACCCTGCTTATGACTCCTCTCTGCAGAGAGACGCGACTGGCGGCTCCAGCAGGGACTACCATTCTTATGAACCCAGGGGGACCCCCACATACCTGATTCCTTGCTTCCTTTCCCCTTTCTTTCTTCCTCCCCTCCCCCAGTATGTTCTGTGATCGCCAAGTTCAAAGCTGTGCACATGTGGACACTCAATAAATGTTCATTGGTGAAGGTGGCTCCTGTGTGGTCTGTCCGGCACCTTCTCTCTCCCAGGCCCAAGCAGCTCACAGCTGCTATTTGCTGGACACAAGCCTTGCCGAGCACTCTGCACAAGTGTTATCCAGCCCACCCCAGAATCCTAGGAAGCAAGCATTATCCTGATTTTACAGAGAAGCAACTTAGCCATGGGTAGGCGATTTGCTCAAGGTGCTAACAGCTAAGGGCCAGAGCCAAGACTCGCAGACCCTCCGACTTCAGGCTGCATGCACTCTTCATTGCTAGGGCAGGGCTGCAAACTCACACTGATGTGACCAGGCCTAGTGGGGGCCCTGGTGCTCTTCTATACAAATGAGGTGCTGCCCCACCCCCCATGCCAGCAGGTTGTTGCCAAGTGGCACTGCCACATCCTCCAAATTTTAAAGAATTCAGAAATCCTAATTTTCATGTGAAACCTGATTTTCAAGTGATAATTTTTTTTAATGCAATCACTACTGCCCCAGCAGAACATCTGTGCCAAAGGGGAAGGGGAAGGGCCTGAGGCTTCAGCAGGAGATGAGCAGAACGCCCACTGCCGCACCAGACCTGAAGGGTGGCTGTCAGACTGGGGCCAGACCAGCCCAGGGCCCACACTCTGCAGATTCTTCTCCGCCTAGGCCCTCGAACCTACAAGCATTCACTCGGCATGTCCTGTGCACCTACTTAGGGTTGTCTGTGCCCAGGCAGAGAGGAACACTAATTATTTATTTATTGGATGTACCGAAAGTCAAGTTCTTAGCATGGATTCCCTGAAATCCCTGAAAAATACGAAAAGATATACCCCGCCCTCAAGCAGCTTAAAATCTAGAGAAAACAAAGCAACAAGGTTAACAACAACAAAGGAATAAACGGCTGCTCCTATGGAGGTCTGAACAAAGTATGGCTGGAGCCTGAGCCCCTTCGCCTGGCTGAATAAGTCCAGGAAAAGCTTTTGCTCAGAGGCCTGAGAGTGAAGACAGCTTGCCAGGTAGACAAGCAGAGGAAGAGCAGGTACAAAGGCATGTAAGCTTGGGAACAGCAAGTAGGTCATTAATGCTACAGTGGAAAATGTGCGTGGGAAGTGTGGAAGGTGAGATTGGACCAGTGGACGTGGGCCAGCTCTTCCAAGCCCTGGGGTGCTGTGCTAAGAAGCTTAGATGTAGGATCATGCAAGACCACAGACTTTTGAGCAGATTGAATGTGACCCAGCTGCATTTAAGCAAGATGATTTTGTCTGCAAGAGGGATGACTGAGGCAGAGCTCCAAGAGGAGGCAGTAAGTCTGAACTAAGTGGCGGTGAGGATGCAGAAAACACAGGTGGGAATTATGTAATAGGGCTTGGTGATTAACTGGAAGTGAAGAGGGGTGGAGAGCCAAGGATGACTTCCAGATTCCTGCTCTGGGCCACTGAGTGGATAAGGCCGTTCACAGTCACAGGGAACACTGCGAAACAGGTTTGTGCACAATAGAAGCTCTGAGTGTAAGGGGTGTATTTGTGCTACTTGTGGTACATCCGGAGCAGTTTCCTGCACTCTGGAATTGAGACAGGTCCGGGTGAGCAAGATATGTAAATTGTCTGTATAGAGGGTCCTTAAAGTTCTGGGAGTGCTTGAGGTCATCTGGGGAGGTGCAAAGAGCAGAGAAGGGACCCAAAGCAAGTGGCAACCAACCACTCACGGTCCCTGCACTCATGCAGTGGGGGAGCCAAACATTGAAGACAGCCTCCTAATACAAAGCAGACTGTGCCCTGTCTGTCCTTTAGTGAGGAACGGTCAGAGAATTCTGGGCTGCGGACTCCGGAGAGGGAGGGTTAGGCGAAGTTGGAGAGGCCAAACTTGCTCCTGGTAATTCAGCTTCCAAGGAGACTGGAGCTGCAGTTGTAATATTTTACCACAAGGTGGAGCCTAAGCATCTCTGTGCCAGATTGCACACCACCCACCACCCCCTTCCCCTCAGCCAAGCCCAGAGCAGAACATTATGAAAGGCTGGGAGGAGGGTGGCTGTGTCAACAATGAAGGAGACAGGCCACAGTTTTTCCCTTACATAAATGTCCAAATGCAAGCTCACTTTTTTAAAAGAGAGGAAAAATTCTGAGCCTGGGGGAAGAGCAATATGTTAAACATGCAAAATGGGAGTCTGTATGTTTGGACGTGTGTAGCTATATGTCATTATATGTGTATGTCCTGTGTTCCAGTATTATGTGTTTCCCATGAGTGTCTCTGTGCTTGTTGTGTGTCTCGTCTGCCTAGGGGTGTCTATGTGTGTGCCCAACACATATCCCAGGCCTCCGCACTTGTGCATGTGTCTCAGAGAGTGAGCAGTCCCTTGGCTTGAAAGAGTCTGCAGCCGTAGAACCCCCCCTTAAGTTTTTAGGAGCCCCCCAAATTAGCAGCAGACAATGGAGAACATTCCTCTCCCCAGTAGCCATAAGCAAAATCATTTATCAGATGACTTCCTAAGATTATACCTGGGTTCTCTGTCTAGCTATCCAGGGTCATGCTCGCATGGAAGCTTCCTACATGAACACTCAATAGACTGAGAGATTCACACACTCACCATTCATTCCTTCATCATTCCTCAAGTAAACATTCACTGAGCCCCTGCCATGCACCAAACCCAGTGCAGGACACATTTTCTGTTTCTCCTTTCGCCTTGTGAAATAGTTCATGAGGCAGGAAAGGAAAATTAGTTGCAGCCGCCTGGTGTGCTACTTAGAGTGTTTAAATGTTTTTTTCCCTAACGATGGACCGTGGGAAGCCCCAGCAGAGTTTTCAGTATGGAGGTTACATGGTCTAGTCACTCCTGTTGCTAAATGAAATTGGAATGGGATCAGAAGAGATATGGATGAAGGCAGGAGACCAGTTATTGGGTCTGTAGTGGTCTGGACAGAGGTTCCCAGCCTTACTGTGCTTCTGAGTCACCTTACAGGCTATTGAAATACAGATCGCCAGGCCCCACCCCCAGGGTTATGTTTGGGCTGGGATCCAAGAACTGACACTTCTTTTTTAATTAATTAATTAGTTAGTTAATTAATTAACTTTAAAGAGGGAGAGAAACATCAATGTGTGGTTGCCTCTTGTGCACATCCCCCAATGGGGACGTGGCCCACAACCCAGGCATGTGCCCTGACTGGGAATCGAACCAGCAACACCTTGCTTCACAGGCTGGAACTCAGTCCACTGAGCCACACCAGCCAGGGCTCAACTGGCACTTCTAACACATTCCCAGGTGATGTAGGTGATGCTGGTCCAGGGAGCACACTCTGAGAACTACCAGTCTATGAGAACGAGTCTGGTAGCTTAAGGTGCTAACAGAGGGAGAGAGAGATTTCTTTAAGGGTGAGAAATGACAACATACCATGAAGAGTAGCTTAGGTGGCAGGGAAGAGGTCAGAGTCTGGGATGATTCTATTTTTAATTGAAAGGATGGTGGTGGCCTTTATGGAACCACAGAACTCAGGAGGATAAGCACGTACGGGTTGCTGGGTGGGGGGAGGAGGTGCTGAGCTCAGTTCTGGACTTGGCGAGTTTCAGACGGCAGCAGCACGACGTCTGGAGGAAATGCCCTACTGACAACTGCATCTGTGCGCCTGGGTTTCTGGTGAGAGATACAGACTGGAGATAACATGGCTGGGAGACGACGGCAGACAGGTAGTCATTAAAGTTTTGAGAGGGGATGAACTCACCCATGAAGATGGTAGATAGAAAGAAAAGGCAGAAACTTCAATTCTGAGGATAGATTACTGACATTAAAGATGTGGCTGAAAAGAGATGAATTAGAAAAGAAGACTGAGAAATGGCCAGAGAAGAAAGGAGAATAAAGCGAAAAGGGGGTATCTTCGGCTGTAGGGAAGTTGGGTGAGGAAACCCAAGGAAGCCACTGGGCAGGCAGCCAGCCCAGCCAGTCACTTTGGCCTTCCCAAGACTCCTGGGGAGCGCAGCGGGTCCCCACAGCTGGGCAGGGGCATTATCAGCCTTGCTGCACTGGAATTGTCCCAAAGGGGTCCACCTACCTGCATGCCATGCACTACACATACACACCTGTCCTGGCGCCTGACTTCTAGCGTCCTGTGTTGAAGTTGAGGATGGGGGTGAAAGCGGTCTCACCAAAGACCACACCCACAAATACACACACACACACACACACACACACACACACTCCTAACCTCTGATCTGTCCTAGGCACGAGGTCACAGAATGCCCAGTTCTACTCCGTCCACTGCTCTAGCTGGTGCTTCCAACCTCTGGAGAGTTCTCAGTGATGGATCTGGGGCTGCTATTAGTCTCCTCCTCCCCCGCAGCACCCCCAGGCTGAGGTGACCCAGACCTGACCACCCAGACCACGTACATCTCATGGTTCGTGGTGTCTCCTCTACCTCCCCTCTCCTCTAGTCTACCTCAATAATTTCACCTTTACATTCTCATCTTGCACTTCACAGAAAGGGGCCTAAGAAAACGTCTAGCCCTCTCTGCCCTCCCCTACTTTGTTGTTGTTGTCAAAGCTGCAGAAACTGAGGTCAGAGAGGCAAAGGGATCTGCCCAGCATCACAGGCCAGTCGAAGTCAGGACGAAATTCTAGGCACCTGAGTCTCACCCAACACGGAATAGGAGCTCCGAGCACAGAGAGGGGCTAGGGACGGGCTACCCTGGCTCTGCCACTTAACTAGCTGCTTGGCCTTGACCAAGTCAGTTCACCCTCCTGTGCCTCATTTTCTTCACGCGAGAATGAGGACGATAAGGCTAGCTATCTCACAGGGCTTTGTGAGGATTAAATGGCTCCATACGCATCAAGTACTTCCTACGGAGTCTGGCACATCTGTAATAAGTGTTTGCTGTGATTCTTTCTACTACAAAACACCTTCCTTCTGCTTTCTTCATTCTCATTCCCCTTAGCATTCCTCCCTTAATCCCTGTCCTTGTTTCTCTCAGGGGGGCAGGATTGGGGTTTGGAAATAAGAAAGATGGAGTCACTACAGAGACCGGAACGGCTAGAGAGCCGGTTAGGCCCGCCACGGTAACACACAGCCTGCCCGGAGCCCACACGGCGTCGATGACACACAGATCACTAACAGGCCCACGTCCCGGCAGCCGAGGCCCTCCCGGCTTGAGAAACACCTCGAGCCCTTCTCAGGCGGAGCTCACGCCCAGCCCCCCTCCCAGGCTACTCTCTCAGTCTGGTGAGATTGTGTCTCCCCAGACCCTGGCTTGGCCCTGGGAGTTACCGACTCCAGGGAGGCGGGAGGGACCTGGGCGCCCTCAGAGGTGCTTTGATCTTGTGTAGATCGAGAGACTGCGATGGGCCCCTACACACGTCTCTGCACGCGAGCCGGTGGGCTTGAGTCTCACAAACTTCTCCCACGTTCACAATCGCCCACTTCATCCACAGTCCGGCGAGGTGGTTAGAGGAAAGACTGACACCCCTGCTGCAGACAAGGAAGCTGAGGTCGAGGAAGAGCGGTGCTTTGCTCCAAGTCAAAACAGCAGTAAAGCCGAGATGCAAACCGAGGGCCCCTACGTCCCAGCCTTGAAACCTTCTCTGCTTCACAGCAGCTCAGCTGGGAGACCCGCGGGGGCTGAATTCACGCCCCGTTACCCACCACGGAGGGTCGCGCCGAAGCCGCGCCTCCGCTGGAGCAGTCCCGGGTGAGACGGAGAGAGCGGCCACCGCGTGTCTCTTTAACGCGCGCCCCCGGAGGCCCGGCGCGCCCCCGCCACTATAACTGGAGTGCATGGAGCAGGCAGCGCTCAGAGGAAGCAGGGCGGGTGCTGGGCACCCGCTGACCGACTTTTCCAAGTGCGATCAGAGCCCGTCCGGCCCACGTCCCGCCCCCATGGACTCTCCCGGGGGCGCCCACACTTGAGGACCCGACGCCCGCTGGGTTCCGCGCTGGGTTACAACCCCCGCCGTCAAGCGACTCCGCGGGCTGGGCAGGGCCCCGCACCTCTGCCCGCAGCGCTAGCCGTCGGGCCAGGGCTCCGCCGTCGCCACGCCTCGCGCCCCACGCTGCCCGCCCCATGCTGGTGCACACCTACTCCCCCATGGTGAGTAGTCTCGGGTCCGGGAGCGCGGGGACAGCAGTAAGCCTGAGCGCTGGCCCTTCCAAATCTCCTCCTCCAACGAAATCTCGGAGGGAGAGGGCCGCAGGGACTCCGCCAGCCACGCGTGGTGAGCGCGGAGACCCTGGTCCCAGCCCGAGGCTCCTGCGCCCGCCGGTCACTCAGAGAGAAACCTCTGGCCCCGGGAAAGCGGGTGGGACGGCAGCTGGGTCCTTGCGAACTGACCTGAAGGAGGGTCCTCTAGGGCTGGGCTCCTTTCAGCTGCCGGTGGGTCGCCTAACGCGCCCTTCTCCTCCCCCAGGAGCGCCCCGACGGGCTGGGCGCGGCGGCTGCAGGGGCCCGCCTGTCGTCTCTGCCCCCGGCGGCTTACGGTCCGGCGCAGCAGCTCTGCCACACGCCGGCCGCCGCCGCCGCCAGCGATTTTCAGCCGCCCTACTTCCCTCCACCCTACCCGCAGCCGCCACTGCCCTACGGCCAGGCGCCCGACGCCACCACCGCCTTTCCCCACCTGGCCAGCGACCCGTACGGCGGCCTGGCGCCCCTGGCACAGCCGCAGCCTCCACAGGCTGCCTGGGCAGCGCCGCGCGCCGCCGCCCGCGCCCACGAGGAGCCGCCGGGCTTGCTGGCGCCGCCAGCCCGCGCCCTGGGCCTAGACCCTCGCCGGGACTACGCCGCCGCGGTGCCACGGCTCCTGCACAGCCTGGCCGACGGCGCGCACAGCTTGGCGGACGCGCCCCTTGGCCTCCCCGGGCTGGCGGCTCCGCCTGGCCTGGAGGACCTGCAGGTGAGGCCCGAACGGTCCGGGATGGGCCACGACCCACCGCAATGATTTAGGACTCTGGCTGGAGGCAGAATGGCAAACACAGGAACCAGACTTTTCTCCCAGCCTGCCACTTCTTCCTCATGATTCCGATGATGCGTCCCGTGGCCCGGGTTAGACGCTGCCTGGCTATTAAGGCAGCCTGGCACTGAGTCTGTGCTCAGTGCCCGATGGCGGCAACCCTCCGCGGAGTAAATGGAGAAGTGTCTCAGCCACTTCTCTCTCTCTTGCCTGGGCCACGCAGGACACCTATGCCCGTCCCGGTCTGCTGGGGAAGCTTGTGGCTGGAGCAAAGAGAGGCAGAGGAGTTGCCTAAGGTTCAAAATTCCCTTGCGGCACGGTAAGGTACCTGTGGCCCAGATCGGCTGCACAGACGGTGCCGAGCCTTGGAGAATACTGGTCCCACCGGTGGCCGCCCCAGGCGACGAACCGAGTTGCGCGTTGGGAGGAGCAGGCAGGACAGGAGCCAGGGACAGCAGGGGCCTAGGAAGCAACAAGACACTAGGTCCATAAGCGCCCTTACCACCGCATCTCCTATTTGCAGGCCATGGATGAGTCGGGAATGAGCCTCCTGGAGCAGTCTGTGATCAAGAAAGGTAAGGACTGGAGCGCATCTGCCAGGACAGAACCCGGAGAGCTGGTGCCCGCCCTGGGCGCACATGCCCATTTTCTTCCCCCACCAGCGTGCCTCCTGTGCGCCACCGGGCTCTGTGGCCGCGGAGCCCTCACTCTTCCTGGCCCAGTAAAGAGACAGGGGAGGGGATGGGGGACCTGGCCAGGCCTTGGGCAGCGGTGCAGGTTGGTAAGTTGGCCCCACAGCCTGCGGCCTGGGCTGAGCCCAGTCCATCAGCGCTCAGCTGGCTCCCAGGGCCAGTCAAGCTGCATAAGGTCCTGGCCCCTCGCCACCAAAGGGAGGGCACTCCCCTGGATCTGGCGTTAATTTGCAGAACGAGTTAAACCACTTCCCTGTTTCCTAAGAGGTGAGAATGGGGGTGCTATTCCCAGGACTTTTGTTAAGTGATCTCCACATTACAGCGCCTACCAGTCGCTAGCCTGGCAAGAGCTTTCTGCTCCTTACTTCCCAGCAGGGCCTGGCAGGTGACTGGGTCTGGGGGTGGGGATCTTGCATTCTCCTGAGAAATTTTCTCTCCAAGCGGGAGCCGCTTTCGGCATTTGGGATTAGGGAAGCTCGGTAGTGAATACCGAGTGTGCAGGAGGTGAGGGCCTGTCTGCTCCTGGGTACCGATGTGAGTTCAGGTCCTGTACGTGTCTGTGTACTCCTTTCCTAGGTGTCTTTCTGGTATTTTTGGTGCATGTGTTTCTGTCGCTGTGTGTGATGCGTTTCTATTGTATTGGTGTACCTCTCTCTGTGTTTGGGTGGGAGGCCTCCGTGTGGTTCAGTGTTTCTGTTGTGCCCCAAAACTTGATCTTTGGTACTGAGGGTCTCTAAGCATGTGCGGGTCGCTTCCTGCGTATTTTCCGGGTGGTGTTTGTGTCTCTGGACTAGTAAAAGCCAGAGGTTTGAGACTTACCCTCGAGCGGATTTTCTGGCTTGAGTACAGAGTTCTGGCCGTGCCAGGAAAAGGTGAGACAGAGACAGAGAATGACAGAGACAGATTCTGGGGGGTCCAGGTTTTGGACTGGCTCAGTAGATCTGGGGCAGATGCGGGGCAGGACTCCGAAGTCGCAGACAAGTCCGAGGTGCCTGAGACAGGCACTGGCTGCTCCGGTGTGATTCGACTTGAGTCATTTTTCAAAAGTGAATTCAAGTCCCAGCTTTGCTTGCCTTCCACCTCCGTTCCCAGCAGAAACTGGGGGTGGAGGTGGGGGTGGGAGCTGGGATTCCAGGAGGGGGGCTGTGTTACCAGGGGCTGAAAGTTAGCCAGACCTCCTAAAGTGTGTATGGGAAGCTGCGGGGACAGACCTCCTGGAACTTGGGGCGGGGTGGGGGGGCTCACCTCGCCCCAAGGTATTTGGGGCTGTGTCACCTGGAGCTGGGGTTTGAGAGGACCTGGGTAACTGGCTGCCTGAGGTTGGGATGGAGGTGTGAACTTGGGACCCAGAGCTTTGGGGTAGGAGCTGCTTTGCCTTAGTGGACTTTTTTGAACCCATCAGAAGGAAGAGCTCAGGCCCCCAGGAGATATGATCATGGTCACAGCCCCCTGGTCCTGACTCTGTGGGAGGGGCTGAGGGACCTAGTCTCATTGACTCTCAGAGGAGGCCAGCCCCCTGTATTATGGGAAGGGGCCTGGGGACCTCTGCCCTGGAGAAGAGTAGAAAGATCAGCTGGTGCTCTGAGTATGTAAACCCCAACCCCCAGACCAGGGCGAGGACAGGAAGACTTGCTGTGAAGAAGGACTGGAATTGCCCCGGAGCTGGTTTCTCTCAAGGGACGTCAGTGTCCCTAAATCTCGGGTCCAAGGCAGTCCCAAGACCACAGCGAGTGTGGCGAGGACTGCCCGGGGTGCTGCTGAGCTGTCCGCGGGTGGGGTGGTGTTGGGGGAGGCAGCTGTGATTGCAGGTGCTGTGCAGGATGTTGCAGGGCTAGTTGTGCACACCTGCTGGACCGTGGGGTCAGTAGGTCGGTAGCTGAATGCGGCAGCAGCAAGGTGGGGCGCTGGCGACCCCAGCTGGGTACTGCCCCCTGGGCAGCCCACCCTGGACGTCTGAGAATGGGGGCTCCCTGAGGAAAGGAAGTGCCTGGCTCCCCAGTGGGCCCTGGTGAAGGAGAGAGAGGCAGTGCCAGTGCGTTCAAGCTTTGCAAATGCGAAGGTCCTGCTGGTTCCCAGAGCTCCTGACCTCCGGGTGTGCGTGGTGAGCAAGGAGCAGAGTCACCTTGACTAAACAGGTGGACCGGCCGGAGCCCAGCTCACAAGCGGCAGTTTTTGCAGGGGTTCTGCGCTGTCACTGCAGGACTCCAGTCAGCCGCCAGCTCCTTGTGGGCCGTGAAGTAGCGCCGTTCTTAGCCCTCGGGCCTTTCCAATGGCACCCGGATCCCCTGTCCAGTCCTGAAGCCCTCCCGCACTTGCCGGCAGCTGTGGGGGCCTCATTCCGGCCTGAGCCCTGGATTTATGGAGAGTCATTCTCGGCTGGCTGAAGCCTGCCACTCCTCCAGCCCCTCCTGGCCCTGGCGGAGGAGCCACTGTGCAGAAGGCTGTTGGGAGTCCTGGGTGTGAAAGGGAGGCAGCCCCATCCTAGAAGCTCGACGGTCTTCTTACCGTGGGGTGCCTCCGGGGAAGAGAGCCTGGAAATTCTCCCGGCCCATAACCCTTGGTTACGAAATCTTCGCTACTCCAGACACTCATCCTGGAGGGCAGGGGAGGCGCGCATCGGAGGAGGGCAGGGGAGGCGGGCAGGGGAGGCGAAGCGCGCCGTGCACCGCCCCCCCCCCCCACCCCTGCCTCGGCCAGGCCACACCACACTTCAGGTTGGCAGCCCCTTGCAGCCAAGGTGTGGGTTAGAGGATGGCAGATGGGGCCCAGGCCGGCGGGAGGGGAAACCAGGAGGCCTCCATTGTCCCCTCTGCCCACATCTGTCCCCTCCAGTGTTGCGACCTGTCCTAAGGGCACAGAAAGCAGACAGGACGACTGGCAAGGAAGACAGACCTAGAGAGGATTATTTTCAAGCCGAGAGAGGCAGTGAGAGGGTCTGGACAGGGCTCGGTGGGAGCTCAGAAGGGGAGTGGTGAGTGTCTGAGGATGGGAGACTTCCTGGAGGAGGCGTTAGGATGGAGCTCCCCAGGCACCCAATGGTGTTTGTTGAGTGAATGATGGATGGATGTTGAGGTCTGAGTGCATTGGGAGAGGGGGTGTAGAAAGGGCCTGGCTGCTTTCACTTGCACTAGGTGCAGCATGTGCAAATGCCCTGTCTGTGGAAAAGCCAGACAGGTTAAAAAGGTTAACAATCCCCATGGGGTTCAGTTTATACAGTCACAGCTGGAGGGGAGTGGTTTGGTGATGAGAACTGAAATACTCCTCCTTCCCTCGGAGGAGAATGGGTTGTCTAGTTGTATAACCCCCTCTGCTGGACTCCATTGTCGTCTTGGGGGTCTCTGGGGAAGACGAAGGCTGATGTAACCAGTCACCCTCTCCTCTGCTCCCCTTGGCTCTGGGGAAGGGAATGGGAGATGGGGAGGGTCTGGCTTCCAAGTGAATCTCCAGGCAGTCCAGGCCTAGGGTGAGGTACATACCTCTGAGGCAAGATTTAGATATGTAATATATTTTAATGCAACATTTTAAAATAAGAAGAATGCAAAAAATCCATGATCGACAAAATATCAACAGTTTACATAAAGACGGCATCTGACCCTGCACTTGCTCATCCACACCTCAGTTGCCTCCCAGACAGGACACTGTCTGCCCCGTGGGGAGACAGACAAACCAGTCAGTGACCATGCAGAAAGTTCGGAGGGAGGCTGAGGGCAGTGCGGAGCAGGGGAGTGCAGGGTAGCCGCTGAGCCCTCTGGCAGTTGGTGAGGAGGAAACTTAACCAGCAGGTCCTACCGGAGGAGACAAGGAAACTCAGGTGGGCTGGGAGGAGGGTCACTACCCCTCCTGTCTGCCTTCTTCCTGCTGTCCCTCTGCCTCAGGCTTTGGACAGTGGTTCTCGGTTCTCGAAGTATGGCCTAAGGAACTGTTGCATCAGAATCTGTTGGGGGTACTTGTTAAGAAATGCAGATTCCCCGGGGCACCACCCCACACCTACTGAATGAGAAGCCCTGGAACACCCTGGAACTTGGCATTTTTTACCAATTTATTGAAGTAAAATTTACATACCTAAAATTCACCCATCGTAAGACTATGGAATTTGATGATTTTTAGTAAATTTATAGTTGTATAATCTTAACCACATTCAGTTGTAGATACTTCCATCACCACCCAAAATTCCTTCATTCCCATGTATAGTTAATCCCCATTCCCACCCCAAGCTTTAGATGACCACTGATCAGCTTTCTGTCTATAAATCTGCATGTTTTAGATATGTTATGTGAATGGAATATAGAAATATTTGGACTTTTGCATCTAGCTTCTTTTACTTAGCATAATGTTTTGAGGATCATTGTGTTGTAACATGTATATAAAAGTAGTTCTTTTTTTTTAATTGCTGAGTCACTACTTGATTGTATGGATGTAACACATTTTGTTTATTCATTCATTAGTTGATGAACACTTGGTGTTTCCCCTTTTTGGCTGTTATGAATAATGCTGCTGTAATCATTCCCATACGTGTCTCTGTGTGGACATATGTTTTCATTGCTCTTAGGTAAATTCCTAGGAGTGGAAATGCTGGATTTTATGGTAATTTTGTGTTTGATTTTTTAATAAAATGCCAAGCTGTTTTTTAAAGTGGCTGTTCTACTTTACGTTCCCACTAGCAACGTGTAAGGGTTCTAGCTTCTCCACATCCTCACCTGCACTTGATGTTATTGTCTGTCATTTTTATTACAGCCGTCCTAGTAGGATCTCAGTGCAGTTTCAGTGTGCATTTCCAGAATGCCTGAAGACACTGGGCACTGTTCCATGTGTCTATGGGCCATTCCTGTATCATTTCCAGTGAAACATCTTTTCACATATTCTCACCTTTTCCTAATTGGTTTATTTATCTTATTATATGAGTGCTTTATATGTTCTAGATGCACATCCTTGATCAGATGTATGATTTGCTGATACCTCCTTCAAGTTTGTGGTTTGTCCTTTAATTTTCTTGATAGTATCTTTCGAGCTACAGGAATTTATAATTTGATGAGTCCAATGCATCATTATTTCTTTTACGGATCATGCTTTTGATATTGTATCTAGAACTCTTTGCCCGAGCCAAGGTCGCAGAGGTTTTCCTGCTATGTTTCTGCTAGAGGGAATATCCATTTTCATCAGCTTTCCAGGGTGGTCTGTTGCATGCTCCCCAGATTCAGTGATCAGACCATGTTCTACCACCTGTGATGAGAGTGTGTGGACGTGTGTGAGAGTCTCGTCTGACAGGATGAATAACCAGGAGCTCTTGTGTCTGTAGGAGTCTGTAGGAGTCTGTAGGAGTAGGAAGGGCTTCTGCATGCGTGACCGAGAACACCATGAGTAGAACGCTCACGCCTCAGGAGCCACTGGTGTGGGAGACAAACGCTGCTGTCCCTGCTTTGCAATCTGGGAGAGTGTAACTCCCACCTCTATGCCTGTCCCTCTTCCAGGCTGCCTGCTTCCCTCGCCTTCGGTTGGTGCCCTCCCTCTTGCCGTTTTTGAAGAAAGAGGCTCTGAGGAGAGATGGAAGGACAAGTAGGGAAAGTCTCTCATTCATTATTTTACACACACACGTGTCCATCTGTCATGCACCTACACCCTTCGGCGTCTATGTTTCCATAAATCCAAGATCCACTGTGTACAAGTATATCAACAGGAGCAAAAGCTTGCAGATACCCACATGCACGCCACATTCAAGAGGGTCGAGACTGTCTGTGTGTAGAGCTGGGCTTCAGTATTTGTTGAACGAGGAAGCTTGCATGTGCACAATCTCACCCTCGTTCTTCTTCATATGACAGGGAATATAATTTTGCGTACAGCCATTTTTGAGACACTCGTGCTCACCGTGTCCCTGTTTGCACACGAACAAATGGCCTCATGTAATCTTGGCCTGTCTCCCCTCTCACAGGGTCTGGCCTCAGAGGGCCCCAGGTTTTGGCAGAAGTTGGATGAAAGAGGCAGCTGAAGGGCAGAAAAATGTTCTGTTCCTCTGACTGCTCCCTCTGGCTGGGGACATGGGAGAAAGTACAGTCTTATTTAAAGTTTTTGATTTTTTAAAAGATTTTATTTTTTAGAAAGGAGGTGAAAGAAAGGGAGAAAAGCATTGATTGGTTGCCTCTCACAGGCCCCCAACTGGGGACCTGGCTTCCAATCCAGGCATGTGCCCTGACTGGGAATCGAACCGGCAACCTCTCTGTTCTCAGGCTGACGTTCAACCCACTGAGCCACATCAGCCAGGGCTTATTTTTTACTTATCAATTTGTCATTTTACTTTTGAAAGTCAAACTTGAGGTATAATTAACATACAGTACAGTTTACCCTTTTTAGATGTGCATTTCTATGAATTTCAATAAATGTAAATGTATGAAGTCATGTAACCATTAAAAGAATTAAGATATAGAATAGTCCCATCACTGTAAAAAGTCCCTCAGGTCAGAAGGACACAGGTGAAGAGGGGGCCTGTGTACAGGCCCGGGAGACACGGGGATGAGAGGCGGGCAGGGTTCCCATTGCATGTCTGGCGTCCGCAGCTGTCCAGTCAGGGCATCCTTGCTCTCCGCTCTGGGACAGGGCTGGGCTGAGGGGGAGGTGGGTGAGGCAGGGCCGAGCCACAGCGGGTCGGAGCCCTGTCTAATCAAAATTGTGATATTTTGTCATCATAAACTCTGTCATTAATTTTTATTACTTTAATCATTGCATTAGAATACTACTTATCTTGATTACTGAGAATTTTGGTGCCTCCTTAAATTTTCCAAGTGCCTCACTTGCCACACCCTAGTTTTGGTCCTGGGCTGGGAACAGGGAATGGGCCTGGGGTAGGGTATGTGTGTGCTGCTAGTTCTCTCTGACCTCCCACTTCTCACCTTCACCCACCCACCCTCCATCCATGAGCTTTTGGCCCCTCCCTGGTGCCTGAATAGGGACCCAAGGAGGAAAGGCAGTTTTACTATTAGATGCTAACAAAAAAATGGGGCTCCCTCAGCACCCCTCTTCCAAATCCCAGCTGTGGGCCATCGTCATTCTTTTTCCTATTGCAAGTTTCAAAGGCCCCTGCTTCTCTCATTTACTCCACATTCACTGATGGCCACTTGTGCCAAGACTCCACCCTCAGGCACTCCTAGTTGGTGGGAAGGTGGAGCTGGAATCAGACAGGAAGGGTCACTGGGTAGGGAGAAGGATCACAGGTGACAAGGAACAAAGGTGGAGGCCCCAGGAAGCTTTGCACCAGGATAGTACCTGAACCAGAGCTTGGGAGGGAGCAGCCCTGCTCCTTAAAGCAGGGAAGAGCCCTGAGACAGTGAGCAGTTGCGTGGGGCTCAAAGCTGTCATGCCGGTGTCCCCACACCCCAGGTGACGCTTCACATGGGTTCTGTTTGGCCTGTGCTAAATTTTTAAGTGTTGGAATCAGTTGGCAATGTTTAGAAATACAGAAACACACCTCTCTGGGCTTCAGTTTTCTCATCTGGAAAATGGGAATAATAAACCACTTTGGGGTTGTTGGGAGGATTTAGAGCACGTAGCACAGGAACTGCCCAGTAACTGCTGGCCCTAGAGCTCACACTTGATCCCCTACCCAATGCACACAAAAGACCTGCCTTCTCTACCAAGGCTCTCACTTCTTTGAAACAAGATTGGCCCAGGGAAAGTATTCTCAATTATTCTCCCTTCCCCCTGAAGCTAAGCAGGAAGATAGCAGTCAGACTGCAGGAAGAACTTTCTTTTATAGCCAAGGGTATCGAAATGTGTTTTAGAAAATGAATTTCTCAGATTCCCTTTCCTGCCTTTTATAGATATTAGCAGATAATTAGCATTTTCAGGGAGGAGGCAATTGGGTGTGTTTCTTTATTCTTGGTCTCCTTAAGCATCCCAGTGTGATTTGGCAGGAAGAGGCCAGGGCTAGAAGCTTAAGGGGCTGTAACATTCCTGTCCCCTTGCTACTTTGGGGGGTGGTGAAGACATGGGGATCACAAGTGGGCGGGGGGAACTGGGGACCCCTTGCAGTTGTGCAGGTCTGGCTGGGCCCTTCACAGTGACCCAGGAATCCTGCCTCTAGCTCAGACTCCACTTCCTCATTTCCAACTCCCTCTCTGGTCGCATCTGCCCAAACTCCAAGAGTCTGCTGGAGCTGCTGAAGTTTTACCAGGGATCTGGCCTGGCTTAGTGAAGGGAACACAGGTTCAAGAACCAGGCAGCTATGGATTCAGTTTGCACCACCCATTAGTTGAGTGAACTTGGGCGAGTCACATTAACTCAATGTGCCTTCATTTCTTCCTTCGTAGAACCTTCCTCTGAAAGACGCTGGGACACTTAGATGTGTCTGCATGTGTGCACAGCATGCAGCGTGGCGCCCAGCACACAGTTGGTGCTCCATCAAAGCGCCCAATCCACAGCTGGCTAGTGTCCTGTGGTTCCTGGCTGAGTGTTGTCTCTCTCTCCCTTGCTCTTGCTTCCACTCCACAGTCCCCATGCCCTCCAAAGCCAGCAGCCTCTCCGCCCTCTCACTGGCCAAAGACAGCCTGGTTGGTGGCATCACGAACCCCAGTGAGGTCTTCTGCTCCGTGCCAGGCCGGCTTTCACTGCTCAGCTCGACATCCAAGTACAAGGTGACAGTGGGGGAGGTCCAGCGGCGACTGTCGCCTCCCGAGTGCCTCAACGCCTCACTGCTGGGTGGTGTCCTTCGCAGGTAGGAAGGCCAGCCCACCATGCCCTGCACTGTGCCTTGGCCAAAATTCGTGCTTCTTTCATACGTCCTCATCATATATCCTCAGGGGATCAGAGAGGGGCCCACCTCACCCCAAGCCACAGGGCCATCACCTATGCCTCAGTTTCCCTGGGGGGTTGTGCTGCTCTGAGGGCAGGCCCAGGCCCCCAGCAGCAACCACACGTCTGCAGCTTTGGGGTGGGGTGTGGAGGAAGAACCCTGGGCACAGACAAGGGTTAGCGGGCTCTCCCACATTGGGCAGACTGGGCAAGGCTGGGTCTGGGGGTCAGAGAGTGCCGTCTTTACCCCCTCTTCTAGGAAAGGGACCCCCAGGACCCAGTGGTCCTGTGGAACATGGGCCTCTCTGGTGTGTGTGTTTTGGGGTCCATAGTTACCTTCTACTTGTGTGTCTGTCCCTCTTTGTGCCTGGATAAGATATCAGTGCTCAGGACTAAGAGTCTTGGTGTGTCTGAGGACAGTGTGTGCACGTGTGTGTGCATGAGTGTGTGTGTGTGTGTGGTGTAGGGGGCGGCCAGAAGGACATGTTTTCATGGGTGTTTCTTGTGTTACTTTTAATGAGATGGGTTGGCTAGCCTGTGTCCTACCCTGTGTGAGTGTGGTTACCTGGGTGTTTGGGGCTAGACATACGTATGTTTAGGTGTCTGTACCTCTGTGTGAGGCTGTGTTTGTGCAGGTGTGGGGGCATCTCCTTATTCCTGGTCTCTTTGAGCATCCCCGAGGGGCTTGTGTGAGTCTGCGTGCGTCTGCACATTCGTCCCTGGGGTCCTGAGTGGTGTGAACATTTGTCTGTGTCCCCGCATGTGCCTGGGTATCTGGGTCTCCACGTCTCTGTGTGTGTCTGTCTGTCAGGGGGTGTGTGTACTCTTGGCCTTCAGTGTGTGGTCACCTGTGTGTGTATCTATGCATACCTGTGTGTGTCTGCTTGCCCCAGTGTCTCTCTGCATGAAGTCTGTGTGTCCCTGGGTAGCTGTGTGTGGCCTGGCTGGCAGGCTGAGGCGGGGAAAAAGGCCTGTCCTGCCCCACCTTGGGTCCTGCTATTGAGAGGGTTAGGGAGCAACGAGGGGCTCCTGGAGCTGGATGCTGGGCCCCCTGCCCCCTGTCTTGGCTACAAAGCCAGTGAGGTTAGAAAGACGTTGAGACCAGGCTGGAAGAGACCCCAGACTGTCTGTCCCCAGGGCCAGAGCCTAGCCTCAGCAGGGGCTGGTGGAGGCAGCAGGGTCACTCAAGGTCGCTCAGCCTACACGCTTCTCTCTCGTCTTCATAGTGTGTGTCTGTCTCTCCCTGTGCATGTGAAGGGCCAAGTCCAAGAATGGAGGCCGGTGCCTGCGGGAGCGGCTGGAGAAGATGGGGCTCAACTTGCCAGCTGGCCGTCGCAAGGCTGCCAATGTGACCCTGCTGACTTCGCTGGTGGAGGGTGAGTGGGGCCTGAGGGTGGGCGTCAGCGTGGACACAAGGAGCCCTGAGTCACCCAGCATGACTATGTATGACTGCCTCTAATGCAGGAGGGTGCATTTAGTCACATGTTCGTTCTCTCTGTCATGCTTAAGTTCTGTGTGTGGTGTGTGTGTATGTGCATGCACACACATGCAGCAGAGAACATGTGTGTGTGTGTGCAGTGGGGGTAGTGGCCCATGTTTGAATGAGGGAAAGGGATGAGGGGGTTAGAGTCTCTTCCCTGGAGGTTGGTGACTCTGGGCTCAGTCATCTCAAGCTCAGGCTCCCGTCCTGAACCCAGAACTCGTCCCTGGTGGCCCCAAGGCAGGGCGATGGGATTGAGGCTGGAACGGGAGATCAGAGGAAGTTATTATAGAAGGAAGATGGGGCAGAATAGGCCCTGGCCAGGGGGTCAGAGGTTCATGGTAGGGCTCTAGGCTCCAAGATATACCTGGTTGTGGTGACAGCTCACCTGTCTGCCTCTCCTCCCCGCAGGAGAGGCCATACATCTGGCCCGAGACTTTGGCTACATCTGCGAGACCGAGTTTCCAGCCAAGGCAGCTGCCGAGTACCTGTGCCGACAGCACGCCGACCCTGGGGAACTGCACAGCCGCAAGAGCATGCTGCTGGCCGCCAAGTGAGTGAGGGTGCAGTGTGGGCGCTTCCCGACACCATGCGTAGGCTGTCGTGGGTGCCATGAGCAGGCACATGGAGGTGAACGCACAGACACCAAGCATGGGCACAAGTGGCACCACGCACGGCACACCTGGACTCAAGGCTGTACATGCTACAGCGCACGCACACGGACAAACACGAACAAATGCAGGTTGAACAAAGCAGCCAAAGTGGTGTCACAGAAAGGCTTACATAGTCTGTGCCACACCCCCAAACACTGCTCCATGCCACCCCCAGCCCTCGTCCCATTGTGGGGCTGAGGTTCCGTGGTCTGCTCCCTCTGCTTGAGCCTCACCCATCAGCCTTCTGTCCCAGAGACCTCACAAGGCACCAGTGCCCACACAGGCCCCAGGCTGATCATGCCTCGTCCCTACTTCACGCTTAGACCCCTCTGCACCTCCTGTTGGTGCCTCCCTCACCGCCGTCCACAGGCCGCCACCTCAGCTCTGGCCTCCCTCCCTCTAGCACCCTACCGTTCCCTCAGGCTCCCTGCGCAGGCACTGCTCCCCTGCCCGAGAACCTTCCATGGTCTGCCTTGGTTTTCAAACTGGATTCTGGGCCAGTGCTTCAGGGTCTGTTGAATGAACTGGAATTCCATTAAGATTTTAGGTTTTAGAAAGAATCTCATTGCAAGAAGAGACAGAGCAAGACAGAAAGAGAGAGGAAAGGAATAAAATTTTTTTTTGCAAACCTCCAATCCCTAGGGTAAAGGCCAGACTCCTCTGAGGGCCCCACAATCGAGCCCACACAAGCCCCACCCAGTCCAACTGACCTCCTTGCTCTTCCCTCCCGCCCTCGGGCTTGCTCTGCTGCTTGGAACACCCATCTAGTGCAGCCTTCCACGTTGCATCTCCGCCCTCCCCTCTGGGAGCCTTCCTCCAGTGCCCTGGGCAGAAGTGGAATCACAGACTCGAGGGACTTTTGTGGCTCAGGGGACCTTTGAGGCTGTTTGTATGGGAGCTGGAGAAACATACCTAGGGCCAGGCTTGCCTCACCCATTAACCGGCTCACCCATCCAGCACTTCCTGGGTCCCACTCATGTCTAAGGTGCTGACTGTGTTTCACGGTGATTCTAAGGTGAGACCTAAGTGATTCTCCTGCCCGAGCCACACACAAGATCCACAAAGAAAAAATGGCCGCAAACTAGAGCGGGATTCAAATCCCAGCTTGGCCACTTGGGCAGGTCCTACAACCTCCCTGAAACCAGTTTCTGCATCACACGAGGGGGATGAAGACACCAGTGCAGGTCTGTTGTGGGGATAAGTGGGACGATGCACTTGGCACAGCATGTGGGCCTCAGTTCATGTTCAAGCCATTATTTCAGTTATTTGAGGCGGATTCTGGATCACTCCCGAATAATTCTAAAGACAAAGACTGGCATTGGGGGTGGGGGTTGAGGATGGGGACGGGGGTCAAGGAAAGTGTCCTGGATGGGGTGGCAGAGCTCGACTTTGAGTACAGGCGGCGTGCCCACAAGAAGAGAGCCCCCAGGGCACTGGCATGTGCTGTGTTCTAGCGTGTTAAGTGGGAGAAGCCAGTCAATGTCTCTGAACCTTCGTTTCCTTTTCTGTAAAATCGGCATGATCATCATTTACAGACTATTGGCAGGTTCAGCGCCCAGCCCGTGGTGGGTCCTTCTCTGGGCTCAGAACTTTGACCTCTAACCTCTGACCCTCTTTCCCCTCACCAGGCAGATCTGCAAGGAATTTGCGGACTTGATGGCTCAGGACCGCTCGCCACTGGGCAACAGCCGCCCGGCACTCATCCTGGAGCCGGGCGTGCAGAGCTGCCTGACACACTTCAGCCTCATCACCCACGGCTTCGGCGGGCCGGCCATCTGTGCCGCACTCACCGCCTTCCAGAACTACCTGCTGGAGGCGCTCAAGGGGCTGGACAAGATGTTTCTAAGCAGTGCGGCCAGTGGGCGTGGTGACACCAAGGCTTCAGAGAAGGATGCCAAGCATCGGAAATAACCGCTTCTCGGCCCCATCCCTTGGGGGCTCCCTGAAACGAGGTCTTAGCTCTTGGGGTGGGCCTGGAAGGATTACAAGGTGGGGTTGGAGTCAGGCCAGAAAAAGAACAGTCATCCAGAAACCCGGAGTCAGGGTCTGGGGTGAAAAAAGGTGGGGGTCGCCTCTCTGTGGCAGTTCATTGATAAGCGCCCAGTTGTCTGCAATTTTCTGGCCCTGGATTGCTGAGAAGTGCTTGAACTTGGCAGGGGAGAGCCTGGTTCTCAGGGCTGAGCCCTGCCCATTAGGGTGCTTTGGGCACTGGTGGGGGCTCCTAGGGTCCAAGGCTTTGCTGTGTTTTACTGAAGGCAGGAGGGAAACTGCTGACGAACCAGAGGTGCTACTGAGGACTTGGCACCCTTCATTCCAGAATTGCTACCCCCAAAAAAGGGGTGCTGGCAGGAAAACCCCCATGGGCTCTTTGGACCCCTCCCATCCTAGAGAGAAGTAGACAGGGGGGGCCCTCCAGGAGCCAAAAAGACAAAGCACAAACAGCAGAACTGCTGCACTTCACAGTTCTGTCCCTGTCTGCTCTATCTCTGTGTGTGTGTGTGTGTGTGTTGTGATTAAATCTGAACGTTTAAAAATGCCCAGTGCCACTGATTCATCCCAACGCGAGGCGGACTCCAGTTTCACCATTTTGTGCTCACGCCAAGAGGCCCGGCTGGGTCTGGGAGCAGAGGGTATTTCGGCTCACAAAGGGCTACTGGGGGAGGGCAGGGGGCAGCGGGGAGGAGAGATATGCCAGGGGCCCCGAAGTTGGCACCGGGGTTTTGTATTTGCTGTTGTTTCTCTTGACCCTACCGGTCAATGTACCTCCCCAGCTCTCAGAATGCTTTCTCATTCTCTTAATACAATAAAACCTTTTCATTGCATGGGGAGCCCTCCCCGTCCTTCTTCAGTCCAGGCCGGAATTCGCCTCCCAAGAGGCCCTAGGACTTAGGAAGAGGGGTCGAAGTGGAAGGGGCCTCTAAGGGGGAGTCGTGGGAGGGGGCTGTGGGCACCCGTGTGAGATGGGGCACAGACAGTGGGTCTATCTGGCTTGTCAGTGTGGCTTTAGTTCTGTGTGGGTGAAGTGACTCCTGGGTCTGTGTGTGTAGTAATTACTGAGACTTGTGAATGTGTCGGGCATAGGTGGTGGGGTCTGTGTGCATCAGTGTGAAAGCTGGTGGCTGTGTGTGTATGTGTTTTAGGTAAAGACTGACCCAGCTCTCTGGCTTTCTTGAGGATTTCGGTCTTCAGGCATCTTCTGCACCATCAGCCTCTCCCTCTCTTACTGAATAATTTACCAAACCATTCTGCAAAGCACATGTTCTAGGGCCTCTTGCCTTACAAAACATAAATCCTTTCCCCATATATTTCCCTGGCCATAAAGTTTCTGAAAAATTGTTATGCCCCAAACGGCACTTTCTCACCCCCAATTCACCCTTCAACCTACTTCCATCTGGCTTCTACCCCCACCAGTCTATGAAAATCTACTCAGCAAAGTTTTTGATAACCACAATGTCAAATCCAAAGGCCCTTTTTCTGGACTTAGCAGCATTTGACCTATTTTTTTTTTTATTTTTAGAGAGAAGGGAAGGGAGGGAGAGAGAAAAAATGATCAGTTGCCTCTCGTATGAGCCGAAACCAAACCTGCAACCCAGGCATATGCCCTGACTGGGAATTGAACCAGTGACCTTTCGCTTTGGGACAACACCCAACCAAATGAGCCACACCAGTCAGGGCAGCCTTTGACCTAGTTGATCACTTGCTACTCCTATGGCTTCCAATTTCCCCTGGTTCCTTGATCTCTCAGGTTCCAAATTTGGCTCCTTCTCCACTTGGCCTCTGGTGTTGGACTTCCTTGGGGCCTTCTCCCTGCATTCCAGGTTTGGGTGCACAGCTGTCTGCCCATTTCCTCTGGGTTGTCTAACAGGAACCTCAGACCTAGGTCCGAAGTGGAGTCCTTGACTCAAGTATTCAAATCGTGACCTTCTTCACACTTGCCCTCTCATTAAAAAGCACCTGTCAACCCAGTTACTCAAACCAGAAACTGGGGAGTCATATCTGAATCTTTCCCTACGCGCTATCCATCAGAAAGTCAAAGAAACTAGCTTATTATGAGCTTCTCAGTGCGGACAACATTCCCTGTTAACCATGTAGTCCTCACCAAGTTTTATTTTAGAGAGATGATAGCTCAGAGTAACTTGCCCAAAGTCACAGCGTAAGTGGGGCTCACACAGATCCCTCTGATCTGCCACCATCCTTTCAGTTCCATTGAATCCCAAGGCCCCCTGCAGAGGCTCACAGGCCAGAGCCCAGTGAGGGGAAGCAGGTCTTCCCAGCCTGTCAGGCCTCAAGGCTCAGCTCCTCCAGTATAAGGTCAAGGTTGTGCAGAAGCAACAATACCATGTGGAGACCCTGAGTGGCATAAGAAACTTCTAATGAAGTCTCAGCATTTGGTTCTTTCCAGTAAGGGTTTTTTTGGTTGTTGTTTTGTTTTGTTTTTAAATCCCCATAGCAAAACAGTGTTTTATCCTCTAACTAGGTTTAGTCCTAAGGAAATGTAGATGATGATTAAAGAAAGCGTATACAGCCCCGGCTGGTGTGGCTCAGTGGAGTGAGCGTGAGCACTGGCCTTCGGGAACCAAAGGGTCGCCAGTTCAACTCCCAGTCAGGGCACGTGCCTGGGTTTCAGGCCAGGTCCCCAGTAGGGGGCGTGCAAGCAACCACACATTGATGTTTCCCTCCATCTTTTTCCCTCCCTTTCCCTCTCTCTAAAAATAAAAAAATAAATAGGCCCTGGCTGGCATAGCTCAGTGGATTGAGCATGGGCTGCAAACCAAAGCATCGCAGGTTCGATTCCCAGTCAGGGCACATGCCTGGGTTGCAGGCCACAGCCCCCAGCAACCACACATTGATGTTTTTCTCTCTCTCTCTCTTTCTCCCTCCCTTCCCTCTCTAAAAAATAAATAAATAAAATCTTAAAAAAAAAAAAAGAAAGAAAACACTTTCCTGTTTTCTTTTAAAGGATCATAGTGCTTCAGGAGGAGTAAGGTAAGGGCAGCCACTGAAACCCATACCTCCCTCAAACCTCATGAAGGCGAGGCTGGGAGGCAGGCCCTTATCCTCCCATCACATACAGGACATAAACAAGCAGCAGACACCTAGACAGGGTTCCTGTATGTCCACCCTTCTCCTTTGGGGCACAGCTGCTCTTCCAAGGGCCCAGACAAGGAGACAGACCACGAAAGGACTCTGGGCTTTAGGCATTAACCAGGCTTCGGCATTAGCCGGGCAGAGCAGACTCAGCCACTGTTGCTCAGCTGGCAACTGAGCCGAAGCTATTTCCGTGCCCTCTTCCACCTCACTTAGAAGTTCCCTGTCAGCCTCCCCAGCCTGTTCCCTCTCACCCCCAGGCTGGGAGGAATAAATTGTTTTCTGTGTACTAATAACCTGAAAGCAGATGGGAACCAACTGAAAGACTATTCTGTTTGGCCAGGAGTGTTAGAGAATCGGTGCGCTCCCAGTGTTTTTCAAACTCTGGGTAATCGGCTTAGGTCATAGCTGGCATTAAACAAATAAAATCTGGTAGAAGAAAACAGATTACAAAACATCAGAGCACTGCATCGTGACGCAATCACACATATATGCACTTCTAGAAGGAAGTTCCACGAAACAATGCTTACCCTTCTTCCAGCAGGTATACAGGTATGAAGTCATGCTTGCTGAGGCCATAGAAATTCAGCTGGATCAAGAGTTTCATAAGGTAGAGAAGAGGGGAAAATGAGGGGGTTGGTTGGGAGAGGACTGTGAAACGTTTAGCATGCCAAACCAAAGAACTGGGCTTTATTTTATCAGCAAGGGAAGCATCAGGAAGTTTTAAGTGAGGAGAGTTTGAAGGACGACCGAACTTGTTTGAGTACAAGGAAAGAACCAGAAAAGATACTAAAGGCAGAGAAATTAGGAGGCTATTAAAATAGTCCAAGAAATTATGGAGATTAATCAGGACAATGGGAACAAAGATTTTTTTCATTAAAAGGGATGTAGGAAGTTAAACTGCCAGAACGTGGTGACTACGTGAAGGCAGGAGAAAAAGGCGGCATCGAAAATGCCTAGCGAAATGCAGCGCGGTGCCCTGGACCGCATCCTAGAACGACAGAAAAAGAACATTCGTGGGAAAGCTAGCAAAGTCTGAATAAAAGCTGGAGTTTAACACCAATGTACCGATCGATGTTGGTTTCTATTTCGACAAATGTACTGTGGCTACGTAAAGTGTTAACATAAGGGAAACTGAGGGAAGGGTATGAGGAAACTCTGTTTAATCTTTTCTTCAACTTTTCTGTAAAACCAGATTTACTCCAAAACAAGTTTATTAAAAGTAAGTGATGCCTAGGTTTCTGGCTTGGGCTCGTGGGAGCCAGGTGGCTCTGATTCTCTAAGATGGAATGCTGTAGGTGGGGCCTGGAGGGGGGCAGGTGGAACGCTCAGCTTCAGACACATTGAGTATGAGGTCCCTATAGCTAGAGGGTAAGATACTTAGGATAAGTTGATCTGGAGCTCAGAAAGAGATGTGAGTTGGAGAAAAGACACTGGCAGTCAGGGTGGGCTGGAGGGCTTGCCTAGATTGCCGTGGGGACCCTTACATTCGAAGGCGGAGAACCATTTCATTCTGGTGAGGCCTGGATGCAGAATAACAAGTTTACCAATGATCATACACTTACTGAGCACTTACCACATGCCAGGCCCTGTTCTATACGCTTTATATTGTCTCACGGAGTCCGCATAACCACCCCCATGGAAATGGCACAATTTTGACTACTTCACAGATGAGAAAATCATGACGTGGGACTGCCTGTGCTTCGGTAATGGTACTCAACTGGGGCACGTTACCTGAATCACCTGCGGAGCTTTAAAAATAGATGCCTTAGAAAGAGACTCAGGGATCTAGTCAAAGCCCAAACCTACACATCTTCACAGCGGTAGTGGAGGGTGAACCAGCTATGGTCGTACGAATCAACTCTTTTCCCTCATGTATCCAATAACTAACTTTCTTCTTAGAATATAAAGCATTTATCCTTGGTGTATTAAAGTGTGTAACATTTAAATCTGATGTTACCACCATTAATACGCATGTTCTGATCTGAAGGTAGTATCTTAGAGAGATGCTATTTCACTTCAGACAAACCAAAAACCTGTCTGTATGTGAGCTCTTTATTAAGAGCAGCCCAGAATTGGATGGAGTTCATCTTACAATCAGAAATGTTAGAAATGAAAAACCTCAGGCTGTACCTCAAACATGCACCAACTGCAGAGGTAGGACCCAGCAAGCTGTGTTTCAATAAGCCATTCAATAAGAGTGAGATGCTTGCTAAAGTTTAAGGATCACTGCTTCAAAAACACTTCATTCCGGTGATTCTCTATCATGACTGAATGCAAACTTATTTTTAAAAGGGGATGCATGTGTGCACATTTTACACAGGAATGGCATCTATCTCTTTTCAATAAAATTTTTAAATTTACTTTTACAGAGAGGGGAAGGGAGGGAGAAAGACAGGGAGAGGAACATTGATGTGCAAAAGAAACATCAATGGAGTACCTCTCACACGCACCCCAACCAAACTGAACAGGCAACCCCTCACTTTGCAGCACAACACCGAACTAGCTGAGCCACGCTGGTCAGAGCTGGAACAGCACATCTCTTAAAGGATTGATAAGAGATGAGTAGCTGAAGTTTCCTCTGGGAGGGGAAGCAGGTGACCAAATTACAAGGCGAGGAGAAACATTTTTTACTATGTGTCTTTGTAATGCGTACATTTTTCACTAAGTGCATGTAATACCTATTCACATTAACTAAATTTTTTTAGCTTGGGGAAAAAGAATCACTGCTTTAGAGGGAATGAGACATTAGCAAGTGTGACATATGAATGAGCTAGATGGGAAGGAAGCAGGACAGTGAAGCAGAACGTGGGGCTGTCAGGTAGAGCTCGAAGGGAGGGAAAGGGACGGGAGGAAGGACAGTCTTGGCCAGAAAGTCCAAGCAAATAATCCTCCCTCCACTTCCTTCCTGAGGTGACGCCAGGTAAAAGGAAACTCTAACCAGAGAGCTCAGCTTATCCACATTCAGCTTTATTCTGAATTAACCATCTATCAAGAGTGCATGTTGAAAGAGTAGAAAAAAATAAAGGACCCCATCAAAAACAGTTCCCTGGCGAGTGGGAGAGGCAGGACGTTAGGAGCCCTGCTTAGGGAAGGAAATGTTGTCCAGGTCATGGATGCCATGTTTGTCGATGATTCGAACACTGAAGGTTGGCAGATTCAGGATGAAGCGTTTCTGGAGCTGCAGAGAGACAGGGAGGCAATCAGTCAGCAAATACTCACTGAGCTCTCTCTAGGGGCCAGGCTCTGACTGAGACACTGGGCACACCAGCAGAGGAAAACCCCTGCTTCTGTGGAGCTTACATTCCACTGGGGGCCGTTGGCACTAGGACCCTGAAGAAAGCCCAGACTGCAGGTGAACGCTGACTGGAGGGCAGTGAGCAAGAGCTGGGGGATGCAGCTACAAGCATGTCTCTGGTCAGGCGGCTGATGGAACACTGAGACCATCTGAATCTCTACTCCTCAGTCTTCCACCTACCAATCAGCCTGGGAAACCCAGACTTCTCTTTTTGAATGTCTCAAGGGGATAAGCCAACAAAGAGTGATTGCCCTAGGAATAAGCTGTGGACCAGAGTTTTCTCCAGTCACCCACCCATATTATCAGGACCTGGTGTGTGTGAGTGCTTGTGTGTAGCTGTAGCGGTGGTGGATGTCAGCAGAACTCTTGGAACACACTCTGCTTCTGTCTCCTCCAACCCAAGCTGGCCTGTCGTCACAGTAACGTCTCTGCTCTCTCGTAAGACCCTGCTTCAGGCTGTCCCTAAGGAGCTGCATGGTCCCTGCATGGTCTAGGACGTGCATAGCGGCAGACAGCCCCACTAGCCAACCTGGCCGGAGATCGCTGAGGGACACAGCTGGAAGACATCTGTGTTCCTGTGGTTACCCTTCCTGGACACCTCACTAACAGTCTCCAGAGAAAAGAAGGCACAAAGCTCTCTGCCTGCTTCCTTAGGAGCATATCCCAGAAACATCCACTTTCCTAGGCTGGAGCTCTCCCACCCTCAGTGTTTCCCACCCCCTTTACTGCTCAGCACTGGGCAGCAGTGGCCAATTCACTTTCAGAGGCCTCTCTGGCTGATGACTCCTATTATCCAGAAACAAGATTCAAGATCAAGAAAAGGTGACAATAAGGAAATGTGGGTTTCTAACACGATCATCTTTTGGATCTATAAGGAATAAAGTCTCAAAGCACTGAATATTCCAGTGGCCTCTTCCTGGCAGCACTTTGCAACACTTGGGGCTGCCAGACTAATGTGGCCTTTCAGCTGAATGGTTAAGAAAAGTACATGAGTTTATTCTGTGCTGGAAAGGGGATTTACAAACAAGAGGGAGAAGGGGGCACTGTGGACGGAAAAGGATAGGCTTCTGTTAAGAGATCTGCACCCTCCCCCACCATTCTTATCCCCCCACTCGCTCACTAGACTACAAGTTAATCCTTAGGCCACAGGGACAGAAAAAGAATGAAAAGCTGAAGGGACTGCTTTCTTCTCCTCCTCACCCTCCATTCATCCCCCAAAGGCTCTGACTCTTGGGAGCAGTACTAGACTGGGTGGTAGGTCCGAGTTCCTGGCCTCACAATCTAAAGGCTACTCTCCCCTTCTGCCCAAGGCTTCCTAGTTGCTGTCTATGGTCTCCTGCATTCTCAGGGGAGGCTTTCTCTCCAGGACTCAGGACCCATGCACTGTTGAAGGGAGCAGACAGTACGACAACTGGGGTGGCACAAGAACAAAGCAGGTATAAAGTACAGAGAGCACTTCTTAAAGCACGGCCCAGTCACCGCCTGCAGCAAAATCACCTGGGGCTGCTAGTTAAACTGTTCTCAGGCTCTGACACCAGGACAAGTGAATCAGAAGGGGGCGTGGCCAGGGCAAAACAGTTTGATTTTTCAAAACCAGTTCCTCGGATGATACTTATACATGCTAAAATTTGAGAACCACAGGTCTGGATGAACCAAAAAGAAAAGTAATTAAACTGTAAAACTGACATCAATGAGGAGGTGACCCATAAGAGGAAAAACTAAGCTTATTACCCACCAAACTATCTCTGGCAGCAACTTCACATCTAGTTAATGGGTATTTATTGGCAAGGGTCAGAAAAAATGTAACTGAGGAACAAGAACAATATTGGCAAAGAGACAAAACATTCTTTTCAGTCCTTTTGGAATCCCCGGGGAGCTACTCACCTCCTCCAGACACTTCTTGAGAAGATCCACGGCCATCTCTCGTGAGATCGCTGCAAGAGAACACAGGGGCCAAGCACTCACGGGGCTGCCGTTAAATCCAACTCTCCGCTGCAACTTTCAAACTCCTTCAGGTCAGCATCTCACACAAATGGAAAAGCACCCCCTCAATACCCCTAGCCTTCTAGCTAGCAACAAACTTTTTCCATATGCAGTTGAGGGTGCCCCAGACCCCATGCTCTGGCAGCCACAAGCCATTGCAAATTGATTTGCTACAGAGAAGGGTAAGCATGACGGAATTCTGCCCCCCTTGGCTGGGCCTGCCTCTAGAGAGGTCCAGCGGCCTGCCTCTTTTTTTTATAGCCCATCCCCCGACCTTACCCCCAAACCCCCCCTTCAGACCAGGGCTTAAACCAGTTCCATCTGCCCTAGCCAGCTGCGAATCAGGGAAAGGGAAGACAGGGCCAGAGTTTTAGCCTCCCTTTTCCAGCTGGGTCTCAGTTTAACAATGGAAAGAGAATTCATAGGATGGGGCTGAGACTCATAAAATCGGAGCCAAAGGAACTGTCCATGGGCATGTCAAACCAGGATGACACATTACGAAGTTAGGCTTCAGGGGTGGCTGGTGGTTACTCTCGTGGGCCAATCAGCTGTATTACTGACAGATGCCAAATCCAGAAACAGTCACTAGGAGGCCAGGCTAATTCTTTTCAGGATGTGGCCTGGAGCTCTGGCAAGGCTGGGGGTGAGTGAGAGGGCAGCACCAAAAAAGGAATGAATAAGCCAGATTTTTGCTATACTGACAGGGAAGAAAAGAATGTAAGAAGAGAGGTAGTTATCTGTGCTGCATCTATAGCCTGTTAAAGCCAAGACCCCCAAGTGCCTATTGCACACAGTGGCTAATGTCAAAGTTGGAATCGGGGTCAGAAGATAGAACTTAGCACAAAAGCATCCGTGTCAAAGGCTTTGCCAAGCTGACAGTTCATTGACAAATAGAGAGCCAGCTTTATCTTGCAGGAGGGGGTGGCCATTAGGTGATAAAAACCAAGGGAAGGGCCCAGACTAGTGGCCTTCAAAAGCTCTGACATTTAAGCAAAGAAATCTTCAGTTGTCATGCTGGGGAACTGTTCATTCTCACAAGCTCAAAACAAACACAAACCACTTGGTTTATTTGCTCTTTCTCTACAGCTTTGATACTAATAAGCATCTATGCAGGGCAAGATGAATGAAAAAAAAAAATGAACTTTTGTAGCTGAAGAATTAGTTTTATTCACTATTCCAACCCCCTTTTAAAACAAGTCAGAACCCAGCTCAGGACACATGCAATATCTCATTTTGTCTGGTCAAAGAGGGACTTTTATCAGCTTTTCAACAGCCCCACTGACCTACAGGAGAAAGCAGCTTCCAGAGGGTACCTGAATGTGCTTCTTACGATCCCTCCTCTATTCAAGCCCTGGCCACCCAACTCCAAGGAGTAGTGCACAAAACCAGAAGGCAGCTGAGGATGGAGCTCTGCTGCTTTTCCCTACCTATGTTGCTGGAACTTACTTGGTTTATAGTACCGGTCCAGGATACTGAGAGTCAGGAAGGCACCATAGCCATGGGCTGCGAAAGGGGCCTTGGCCAAGGCTGCCAGGTAGTCCATGTAGTAGAGCGCTGGCCCCTCGTGCTCATCGTAGCCAGCCAGGAGGAGGTTGACATGATACGGGGTCTGCAACAGAAAGTCACGGCAAAGGGATCGTCACAACAGTACCACCACCATCACTTTCCATGGCCAATGGCAATGTTCCACCTCTCGGTGAATGAAATAATAGCAGCAACTAAGGAAATCATAATGAAAGTTAGAATTTAGAGAAACTTAAAGGACGTAGATTACGTAAGAGTTTAGGGAAGTCAGCTTGTTTTCTTTGAATAGAAGAACACTGGGAGCATCCTAAGGAACTTTAAGGTGTATGAAAAAGCTGCTTTCTTCTTGCATATGCCCTGACTGGGAATTGAACCTTCAATGCTTTGGTTCACAGCCTGCGCCCAATCCACTGAGCTACACCAGCCAGGGCAAGCTGCTTTCTTCTTAAAGCCTACAGACCAGAACCTATTACAATGCATTTTAAAGGCAAACCATGGGTGTTCTTGTGTCTCTCCTAATTGCTGAAATCAACAAATACAATTTTTAAAAGAAATTTTTAAAAGATTTTATTTACTTATTTTTAGAGAGGGGAAGAAAGAGAGAGAAACATCAATGTGTGGTTGCCTCTCATGTGGCCCCCACTGGGGACCCAGCCTGCAACCCAGGCATGTGCCCTGAGTGGGAATGGAACCTGCGATGCTTTGGTTCACAGCCCGCGCTCAATCCACTGAGCTACACCAGCCAGGGCCAACAAATACAATTTTGAGTGTCAAGACACAGACTAAAGAAAGCAGAAGCACCAACCGCATCATTTTAAATAAACAGGTGCAGGTTGAGTACCTGAACCAAAATCTTAGGTGGTTAGCTGTATTTCTCATTATTAAAGAAATAATTCTCAAATATGTAAGTCAAATCACTAAACTTGTAATGCAGACAAGAGTAATGGAAGTCCATAACATTAAAAAGAAAAAAATAGAAGAACTGTGGATTTAGGTGAAATGCTAACGTTTTTCTAATATAACGAGGTTCCTGTAAGATAACCAAGAAGTAATTTTTACCAGTAAGGCAAATAAAAAGTAGCTATAACTTGGATTTATAGGTGTCCTTTCTTTGTTTTACCTGCAAGCTCAAGAATGCAAGTTCCTACAGAGAACCCTAAGTCTGCCTTGTTCTTCACATCCAAATGGATTCTTTTTTTCTACACCAGGTGGACCATTTTCCATGTTAAATTCGGTCTGTCTATGTCCCCAGGAATCAGCAGCAAGACTCCCATGTTATATGGCTTGCCTTTGTTCTGCAAACTGTATCTGCCTCAGTGAGCAGGTGGTAAGCAGCCCTTGCCCAAGGTTTTGTGCTCATCCCTAAAATACCTTTATGCTCCCTATTATAAAGCGTGAGGGAATAACAGCTAATGGTCATAAAGGCGACATCTTACATTCTTTGAACACGGGTTAACATGGGCACTTGGCAGCCTGAAGAAACTTATATTAGAACACATGAAAATATAATATATACTTATTTGAAATTCAAAGCCAGCTGTGCTAAGTAACATCTACCCATGATTACTCAGTAGATCTAACCTGCAAGCGTCTGCCTTGGGGATTAGATGGCTGACAGTCTCCAAGGAGTAGGAATTGACCAGCAGTAGTCAAGTCTTCTGAGAAAATAATTACCTGCCTATTACATTTCCCAGTAGGTAGTGTGCTACACTCTGCCAGGCTCTGGAACTCTCTGCTGCATTCTGTGACTATGTTCTTAGTACAGAAGACCTTAGGCAAGACACTTAACCCCTACGAGCTTCTGCTTCCTTATGTGTAAAACTGGGTTAATTAATCCTTCCCCTTTCTATCTTCTAGGGAGTGTGGTAAGAAAAAGTAATAGAGGTGAGGCATTCCAAACTCTGGAAGAAAAGATACACTAGGAAGAAATTTCTAGTATATTAGCTATACTCCAGTCTCCTTTAGATAGCATTTTTTAAAGTGTGAAAACAGTACTGTAAAATGAGGCAAACATAAAATACCTCAGTGTTCTTACAATTAAAATTATACTAACAAAAGGGGTGCAAGAGAAGCAGGGAAGAAAATGGGGTTCTAACAAGTTTCCCTTCTCAAGAGATTCAATACTACAGGCTCTTCTTACTTATCACAAAATTATTCATCTTTTTGCTAAGAAAATGACTCTACTCTTCTTCCTTCATGGACCAAAATACCCACTGTATGGGTAACCGAAACAATGTTATCAAGTTGCAATGGTGTATTAAGGATCCACCCGGATGTTTGCCTAACCAGCAGACCCAGATTTGTTCTGTCTCCAATGAAGATCTTGCCCATACCATAAGATTAAACTGTATTTAAAACAATTAATATGATTTTAAAAGTCACCACCAAAAGACTGTACACTACAGACTGTACACTGTACACTGTAAGACTGTACACTGTACGACACTATCTTGACAGAATTCCAAAAGCAAACTATATTGCTTAATTGCTCTGTATGATATCATTTATTTATGCTCAAGCATCTGACAACACACACACTTGTCAAAGTCGGCAGTCAGAAGCTACAGCATGCGGCATACAAGACAACTCACAAATGATCGTGTGACTTCGAATTACCAACTTTTGCATGTGTGAGATGCTTAAGCATAAATAAATGGTGTTATCTAGACTAATTAAATCAATACATCTGTGTAACAACTTGCAGTTTCTGAAATTCTTCTGACAATGCTCCATCAAAGCTCTCTGGTTCACACTGGTTTTTTAAAATTTCAAATAAAGTTTGTGTACTGTTGTATGTTGTCACTCCTCTGGGAATCATGGTGTTCAAAGAGACTAAACCATAGTTGTGGGGTTCCTGACTGTTACATTCCTTCACGTTCACGATTCATTACTGTTTTATTGGAATGAGACAAATTCCAAGCCATTCAATTTTGTGCTAGTCTTACAGCACACACACACGTAACTGCTTGTGGTGTGTTTAGGGAAAAACTTAGAATGTGCAAGATCCAACCAACCTATTCAAATACTTATACCAATCATAAGCTCCATGAAGTTGAGACTGTATCTGGCTTGTTCAATGATGTATATGCTCAACATTTGTTGAGTGAATAATAATCATACCAGAATGCATTACATATGTTTTAATACATATATGTGGCTAATGCCTAATATCACAAGAGGAAAGATTAAGAAATCCACTAAACAAATGTCAGAAAGTGACAGGCCCTACTTCTGAGAACTGGTTCAAGTTTAAATCAATTGCCAGCCCCTCTGTGAATGCACATATGTTGTTGCCTTCTGCTAGACTCCTGGGTTCTTCTCTTTCTACCTCCCTTTAGACACGGGCTCCTAAGTAAAGAAAAAATTCAGCTACGGGTCAGGCGTTTGGAATTAAACAAGAGCATAAGTAAATATCTCAGAAGAAACAGCTGGGCTACAACACTGCAGAGTTAGACCTGAGCTTGAAATTTGACTCTATTGCCAGATGTGTGGCTTTAGAAAAGTTAATCACTTAACCTCTCATTTCCAGTATTTTCACTGAAAACATGGAAAACTACCTACTACAAAAGAGCTAGGGTAAAGATGCAAAGAGATAATGCTTATAAATGAGGAGCACAGTGTCTAAAACAGTAAAGGCTCAAAAAATGCTAAAGTTACTACTAGGGGAACACACTCATCTATGAAGTTCATAGTGTCCACATACTCAGGAGAAGCCCATCTACTCCTGGCACTTGAAATACGAGATAAATCCCTCATACATCTTCATAAGGGGATGTGGACAGATGTTTACAAAAAGTGCCTAGACCCTGTCATAGTCATTCTATGCTTCACCTCTCTTATATTGGACAGAAACCTCTCCTTCAGGTAGGAACAGTAACCTACCTGGAGGAGACACCAGAGGGTCAGAGAGGATGGTGGAAGGAGGACAAAGACAGGCGAATAATGCTTAAAAGGAACAGACCAAAATGATATACTTCCTGGATTATATATGTTCTGCTCTGGAGACCTCTGACCCACAATCTTCACACACATGCCCCAAAAGATAAATACAATACTATTCATTAAGGCCTCTACTTTTATAATGAAAAAAAAGTAGAGGCAATATAAATGTCCATTGAGAAGATGGAGGCATAGATAAAGACATTTCGCCTCCTCACTAAGCTACAGAAGAAATTACAACTGGACTACAAAACAAGTATCACCCAGAATTGCCAGAAAATCGAGCTGTATCGAAGTCCAACAACTGAAGATAAAGAAAAGGTACATTCACCCAAGACAGGTCCGCTCTTCCATAATAAGCCACGCTACTAAGACAGGAAGTCAAAGCAGCTCTACCTAATACACAGGAAGGCTGCCAAGTTAAGTAGACAAAGAAATATGGCCCAACAGAAAGAACAGAACAAAACTCCAGGAAAAGAATTAAATGAAATAGAGATAACCAACCTATCAGATGCAGAGTTCAAAACACTGGTGATCAGGATGCTCAAAGAACTCACAGAGTATAGCAACAGCATAACAAAGACCCAGGCAGAAGTAAAAGTTCCATTAAGTGAAATAAAGAAAAATCTACAGGGAACCAAAAGTAGAGGGGATGAACCTGAGCATTAAATCAATGATCTGAAACATAAGGAAGAGAAAAGCATTCCATGAGAACAGCAAGAAGAAAAAAGAATTCTAAAAAATGAGGATAGAATAGGAAGCCCCTGGAACATCTCCAAATGTACCACCACCCAAATCATAGGGGTGCCAGAAGGAGAAGAGAAAGAGCAAGAAATTGAAAACTTACTTGGAAAAAGTAATGAAAGAAAACTTCCCTAATTTGGTAAAAGAAACAGACATACAAGTCCAGGAAGCACAGAGAGTCCCAACAAGTTGGATCCAAAGAGGACCACACCAAGACATATCATAATTAAAATGCCAAAGGTTAAAGATAAAGAGAGAATCTTAAAAGCAGCAAGAGAAAGGCAGACAGCTACCCACAAAGGAGTTCCCATAAGACTATCATCAGCTGATTTCTCAGAAGAAACTTTGCAGGCTAGAAGGGACTGGCAAGAAATATTCAAAGTGATGAAAGGCAATTACCTA